GCTATTCATCACATACGACTTGATTTAGTGGAAAAAGTGCTCTAAAATTGGGTTTATGGAATTCGTTTCTGCAAAAGAAGTCGTGAAGGCCATTTGAATGATGTATTTAGAACTTAATTGTATCGATTTTACTTCAACATTAAATAAAAATCATTTCAATTTCTTTAACAATTAGTATGTTAAGCAATCATATCACGCTAATTGGAGTACGCAACATATACCTTGTTTGCATGTTCCTGTTCTGTTGACTAAAAGTTGCTCATATGACATGGCGACCTGCCATTGTTATCTTTAAAATTATTATATTTGAATCTGAGGAAAAGCTACTTATAGCCTAAATACGCTTTAAATAAGTATTCAACATAAGACAATAACACATATTTTTATATCATATCACACATTTTTTTGTACCGAAAATTCATATTTACGGTGTGCACACAAAACTGACGACTGACTGAAAAATCTGTTTCCACTTTTATTTTTATCTTTTTATTTTTATTTGCCGGTGTTATTATTTTCTGAGCCATAAGCAAAAATGTAGATTAATTAATAATTTTGAAGATACACTTTTAAAAACCACTACAGAATTGCAAAGGATCTAAAAAAAATTAGAAAACTGTAGTGCGATATTCAGAAGCCTTTGAAGTTTTTCACTAAACATCAAATATAATGACATCCTATTTCTAATTAATAATTTTCTGTAGTAATTCTATGTATGGCGGTGCAACGTTCTGATTACTGCTTACAATATTATTTTTAGTTTATGAATTGTAACCTATAGTCCTTGTGAAGCAAAGTGTATTATATTGGTCACTACCCCGACCTGAGCCCTCCGCATTTTTTAAAAGTGATTCTCGTATTACTCTTCCCCTATATGCCATAAAGCACTGAGGGCAAAAAAAAATATAAAATAGCCACTTACAGCTTGTGACGAGTATTCTGCACTTAAAAATATTTATGCATATTGATACATATATACTATATTATATATTAATTAATTTTCCAAATTTTCCTGCAAACAGCGGCCACTATGCGTGGCTCTGAACCAAGTTTCATCAGCACTCAAACAATATTTTCACTGCACATGGTTAACACTCTGCTATATGAATAGATAAATACCACCAGAAAAAGAAATTATTTTGTGCATATTCTCATGAAGTTTGTCCAATGCATTTAAATATTTATGTACGAGTATATGTGTAAATATTTACAGGCATATATTTATATCGGAGGATTGCATATGCAGCGTGTGCACATGCATTATTCATTGAGACAGGACTTATTGAACGTCAAAGCAGATCGAAAAAAAAATATTGAATAAAGTGAAGTTCGTGAACTTATGAGAATGAAAAAATTTGAATTGAAACAAATTTTTACAACTTAAAATAAAAATGGCATGAGCGCACTGAATGATATTGCTCATACGCAGTGTGTGTTGCTGGATGTGGTAAAGGAAAGAAGTTCTATCGAGTGTAGTTAAAAAATCTTTTCGAAGTTAGTTTTTTACTCGGATATACGCTTTTCCTTTTGAAGTAGTAAGATCTGCTCTTGTTATCTCACATTCTTCTTGTTTCGCTTTTTATCTTGCTTTGGAGGTTGGCTGCGAAATAATCGCTGCCAGAATTTTAATTGAACACATTTTCATTCTTTCGAACTAAGTTGTTTGAGTCTAAAGCCAAGCAGACTGCTTTGACAGAAATAAAATAATTTTAAACGTTGATCTTTATTTTAACGAAACATTTGCAATATAGTAGAATTGCGTCACGAACCAACATGGCAGAACATTCTTCTCTTAGTTCCAAACCGAAAATTCGGTATTTTAAGGTTATGCTTTCGCTGACTGACAATATTTAAGGAGCATACCAAAGATCTGGAACTAATTTTGGATAATAAGCAGATGTTCCACATGTAGATTAGAAGGTGAAAAAGGTCTCTAGTGACATCTATTATCTTTTGAGGTCTACCTCCGGTCTATCGCCTGACTTCATGAATTAATGCTTCACATTGGTGGTCAAGCCAATTTTGCTCTATACTGCTTTGTAGTGGTAGACCGCTGAAAAGCTTTGTTGGAAAATCAACTGCAGGATTGGCGGTATTAGATGAATTTTGCACACACTAAGCAAGTGAACGGTGTACCAAATAGACCACATATCCTTGCACTTAATTTGAGAAGGAAAAATTCAAATCCCGTTTAGACGGTGGATCGCGCAGGAATAAAAATCCACATAAATCTCACATCGTATTGCGTCTGAAGATGTCGCGAAAAACAGAGAGACAATGGATAAGTTGGCTGCAGTTCCAGACCGAACAGTGTAGTAAACACGAAAGTGCTGTGCAAGACAGATCGGGGTCACATGGACTGGCTTAATGGCATGCAGGAAAACCAGGATTCTATACAGTGGCAACACGCAATCTCGAAAGAAATGCAATACTGTTGTTGGCCTAATTACTGGACACAACCTATTGCAAGCACTCACTAGCAAAATGAGCATTAGTAGTAGTGACACATATACCAGGAAGTGCAGGGAGGTGGTGCCGTACCCAGCACTGCAAAAATTCATTTGCTTCTGTCCGGCCTTAACGAGAACTCGACCTTGAGATATAGAAGCTTCACAGCTTCAAGGGCAGGTTGAATTATTGAAATGGCATACCAATGCTCTCTTTAGCTTTGCAAAAGCATTAATGTGCTACATGACAACTACTTTAGCTCAAGTAAAACTGAACCTCTAATTGGCACTACAAAGGCCCAGTAGGCATAGGTAAGGCGTGAAAATCAGGCAGTATGTGTTAAAAAAATCTAATAAACATTATTCTATTCAATTTAGCGGCTAACTTTACCATAATTCCGAAATAGTTTTTTTTCACTAAGTAAAGCCATGTCCGATACATTGGTTCCAGATGCTTTCGATATGAATACGGAAATAATTCAGAACCAATTTGGGACCAGTGCGCGATCAATTCCAGAAATAGTTCAGTAAAAGTTTGAATTCAAGCAAGATGAATCCAGTGACCAGTATCATTTTGTAAATGCACTTTTGCAACAATTAACCCAAATTACATATATATATCGTGAGTATACATCATATTTCAATCAAACTGTTCTATTTTTCAAGCTGAAAAATGCACAATGACCGTTATGATGTACATACTTTTGTACATGAATATATATATGCCACGACACAAAATGAATTTTAATTTATAAAAATAGCAATAATATTTAGCCTAAACACATTTCAAAGTCTATTTATTAACCAATTGACTTTTTAATATTTTTCTCATATATTTTTTCTTTCAACACCCAGTTTAGTCATGTGGATTAGTAGCTGATTTCTTTTCTTTTTTAATGCTTACACATGCATATTTCATTTTTTATGCCAACCAATACGCCAATAAATGTCATGAACGACATGCAATCGAAGCAAGCATGTTATGTGTATGTTTATATGTAATTTTCGCTTTCTATATGAGCTGATTGCTAATGTCTACATACTGAGTTTCCAAAGTGTATATGCACAATGGCGTTGAAATCAAAGGTATTTAAGTATAATTTGAAAAATTTATGCTTATGAAATTCTTATTCTGTGTATGTACATATTTTATACATATATACACGTATGTATATGTTTTGAAACCTTTAAATACTTCAACGAATCCACCTCGAAAATATGGCAACGGAAATCGTCGTCGTCTACTCCCCAAATAAAAAATGTAATAAACACATTGCCACACTTATCAATTGTATATATTGCAGTTTTGGTGAAGTTTCGATTTCATAACCAAAATTGATAAACAAAACCCAGTTCCGCATGTCATGTTAAAGATGAAAAAATTAAAAATATTTTCAATATACTGGCTTGCTGCTAACACCCACAATTACGCACTCCACTTAGCTGACCGAAAGTGCGAGTGTATACATATACATATGTATATGTCCATGAATGTATATGTATGCGTGTGTAAGAAAGCGTTTCGTTACAACAGAAAATTGACACAAATAACCAAGTCGTTCGTCGGCAGACCATTCAATTACGCTGAAATATGTATGTACTTATATGTGTGTACTTGTAGAAGTGATAAAGTGTACAATATACATGCATACATACACGTAAATGTTGTCACACACATTGCATTTCTTTCGATTGACGTGCACATTTCTTCATTTGACGCCTCGACTATTTACTACTACAGGGCAAGAGTTGTTGTTGAAGTTATTGTTGTTGTTATTGCTACCTGCCAGTAGCCGCTTAAGAATACCTACCTTGCATACTAATTAATCCAAACATGCATATAGGATAGAGACAATCAAATGCACATACATTTACATATGTTGGTGTCTTCTTCGAAATCGTATTTTGCTTTAACCACTTCGCCCTTCCTACCATCCGGCCCTCACCCTAGACCAATTTTTTTGGTCATATGCTCGTATTAGCCATGAGTGAGTAACGACGACGACTTACAGCCAAGTTGAAGTTTGCCGGCGAACAGGGAAAAAGTGTTATTGGCAATGGAATTGAATTGCAGTATTTGAAGAATTTACAACCTCCCTAGTCTCACGCCACTCTAGACCCCATCGAGCGTGTTTCACCTCCATCCACAAAGAAGAAGAAAGTTAGTATGTACTGTAAGTGACAATCAGCAAAAGTGGCCAAAACGTAGCCAAATTCATGGCAATGCGTCGATTTTTTTTGGGCAAACCTAGTAAGAGTGGCGCTCTTGCCACACCAATCGTGCTGACGTCGTTGTCCAAAAACGTTCATGTTGTTATTTGCGCGCTTCGAAATCGCATCCAAATGTAATGTGTCCAGTATTAGCTAGTGCTGCGCTGCCCTACTCCTCTTCCGCCGCCTTAGCTTCCACACCAATAACGCCGCTACAGTATGTACTGTATGTATTGGCTGCGTGTAAGCTCCTCAACAGCTAACGGAAACCAGCGAGCTCTCTGACCGTTGGCCGTTTAACTTGTGGCTTCTGGGGAGCGGCAGTATAAAACCATGAGTAAACAAGCAATTGGATATCATTGTCTCATTATCGATTCTGTAGTGAACACACAGTAATCCAAGCCAGTCAGTAGTATCGCATTACGATCACTGAAAACGCGTAGTTCACTAACTCAATTACTTTCAGTTTTGTTCATTTCCCGCTAAACTTTGTGTTTGCATCGAAAATGGCATTTCGTTTTACGTCCTTAATCGCGTTCGGTTGTTTGTTGCTCGCTACTGCTTCGCCAATCAATGCTGCCGCCATTGATAATTCCGTAGCTGAGCCACGTATTCGTAATACCGACGAATTGCTCACTACAATTGTGGATAAGTGCTTCCATGCCAACGGTTTGTATTGTTTGAAAGAGAAAGTTCTGAACTTTTTGGATGGTGTGTCCGGTGTCGAGGAGGATATTAGTGGACGCGCATTCAGCGAGGATGTCATCGATAAGGTGATCGTTGATCGTGTTGCCAGAATCTTAAACAACAATGAATTCCGCCTACGCTTGCCCGAAACCGGATTCGGCAGCTCAGTGGTTAGTTATAGTGCCGCTCGTGGTTTCGATATGGAAGTGCCCGAGACTGGAGGTGAGTGAAAAGTGCAAAAAGTTTAGGCCCAAAAATACGTAAATGAGAAAAATAACAGTGTTTTGGAAAAGAGAAATCATTTATGTGAAATATTCCATCAAGCAATCGGTTTAAAAAAAAGCCAAAGGCTTGTCAGCTAATCGCGTCAGGATATTGCTTTTAATTCAAGTAGTTTAAATATTTTGGGCTTAATATCACTTGAGAGAATATTCCGATGGATAACTAAACATTTTTAATTTTTTTTTAGAACTATGATTTAGAGCACTTTTATTAAAAACATTCATTTACCGTTGCTGCTCAATTAATTATAATTCTTAAACTGTTATTTATTAATTAACTAATTTTTTATTCTTCACATTTTCCCCGTTTTTTCTTTTTTCATTAAAAAAATTCGAATGAATTTCGCTAGCCCGCGGCGAAAAGAAGAAGGACAAATTGCTTTTGCCCCTCTTGTTGCTCATGAAATTGAAATTGAAGGTTGTCTTGCCAATCCTTCTCGGTCTGATTGGACTCAAAGCATTCAAGGCTTTGATTTTGTCGAAAATCGCCATCAAACTGGTACTTGGCTTCCTCATCTATAACTTGATCACCAAATTGTCTGGCGCTAAAATGATGATGATGCCCGCACCTATGCCAGCGCCAGAATATGGACCACCCAGCACTACCGCCTCTTCTTACGACCCAAGCAGCTGGGAGCCAGCTAGCGGCGGCCCATACGCCCGTTGGGACTCACAGAGTTTGGCATACAGCTCATACCATCCCAGCTCTAGCTCATACAACTCCGGTTCAAGTTCAACTGGTTCATCGTCCAGCTATAGCTCATCATCCTAATTGAAAGGCGGCATCTATTGAGTTTATAACTCAAAGGACCTCTAACTCTGTTGCAAGTAAATGATAGAGTTGGTTAACCAAAACAGAAAAAAAAACCAACAAAAAAAGAGAGAGCACAACAACCTGTACATATATATTCATAGAAAAGAAAAAACTGGAAAACCCAAAAAAAGATGACAGATTATCGTAAAACGAACATTAGAAAACGGAAAGGACAAAGATAAACGCTGAGCTACCATTTTATCCGTTTAGGATATTTATTAATTGTAATTTATTTTTATTAATTTAAGGATTTAGTCATTCTATTAGTCTACCACTTCTACCAAAAACTAACTGACTTTTGTAGCACGCTTTCACTTTATGGACTTTCACTTCACATTTATGCACAAACTCTGATGACTTTACTTTCCTTTTCATTCTTCTCTTTGTACTTTTTATTATTTTCTTCCTTTTACTTTACTTTGTCTTTATCTGTTCCTATACGTTTTATTCTAGTCCTATATTTATCTATAACTTTTGTTACATATTTTCCTTTCTTTTTCCTAATTTCTATTCCGCGCGAACTTCGACCAAAAAACAAATCCAAAACTAAGCTAATATTTATTGTAATTTATTGAGATGCAAACAAAAAGTATAAAAATAAAAAAAAGAAATTGAATTTTTATTAAATCTTTTGAGTTTTATTAGCAACAAAAAACATTGTCAACGAATAATTTCGACTGAGAAAAAAACCGCCATTCGCAGCTGTCACCACAAATTTATATCGGAACAACAATTTTGTTGGGAAGAACTAATCTCTCTGGAGCTCTATAATTTGTAATAGCTATTTACCTCAATTTATTAATCATATGTTTATAAATTTATCGACTTCCGCCAACGTTTTAACGGCTTTTCATTTTTATTTTCCGCTCACCAACTTGACACGCAAAAGTTCGACCTGTTAAATCGATCGCAGAAAATAATTCTACATAATACTTGAACACCGGATGATCGCATATGTGTTGGCATTTATTGTGTAGTATGAGGGTTGCTTTCTATATTTGGGAATTAGAGAGAAAAAAATAAACAAATATTGATCATCAAAAATTGAATTATTGTTCTTTAAAATATTCTCCATTAAGATCTAAACACTTTTGCATGCGTTTGGACCAATTGTCAAAGGCACTTGGCCACTCTGATTGAGGTATCTCCAAAACATACTGTTGCGAAAATGCGAGGCAAATGACAGATGAAAGAGAGAAGCCGATAACTAGTACATCCTAGATAGATAAAACGAGAACCTTCGATAGCGAACAACTCGATTATTCTACACTATCGTCTACGAGCGGCCGACTGATATATAAGGGCGACTCTCAGCTGCCAAGAAGTGAGTCACAAACTGAACTCATTGGCGACAACGTCGTAAAGTAAACGCGTTGGAGATTACATTTTTACTAAAAAGAATAGGCAACCATTACTTTGGAAGTGCTTCTCTCGCGAATAACTTTTATTTGGTTCAAACAGCGGACCGCTGTTAACTTCCGGCTCATATGGGTGATACATCACCTGCGATAACGTCATAGACGAATGTCGAAGCAGCGCTATCATATTTTTTTAACATTTCTCTCAACCAATCGACATGAACCTTTTTGTTAGTGATTGCTAAATTGTGTGGGATCCAACGGGAAAGTTTTTTTACAGTCCAATGTTCATATAATGCTAAATGTATACCGGTCCCACTAATGCCTGTAGTTGTCTCAATCTCACGCTAGACCACGGGGCGATCTTACGATATCATTTTGTGCACAGCTTCTATTATACAATAGTTTCCGGAAAAACAACTGATTTTAGACGACCTTCGAAATTCGTCTTGGAGTGATCTACGACATCGATCGAAATCACCCTGCAATCGATAAACTCTGGTCCTTAATGAAGCTTGATCGTCAAAAATTGAAACAAGTTGATCGATGCATTGTGGCTGGGTTAAACCATGCCGCGCGCAATTTTTCGCGTTTCAATTCCATTCTTTGCGCGAAATGAATATTTTAAGGTCTTTTAACAGCACAAATAGCGCTTGTAGCTCAAACTTCACAATAGAGTTTATAATAATTAATAATAAGTTGTCATTTATATATATATACAATTGGCGCTTTGCGGCTCCACCTGCTCCAATTTGTTGTTTAACGTCTTGATGTCTTTCCAACTACTAGTTGCCGAAATAAAAAAAGCAACCCTCGTATGTATGTGTTTATCATTACTCAACTTTGTTGGCGGGTAAGTTAACACGTTTCTCGCCGTGTCTTAAATGAGAAATTTAGCAGAATCTATTGGCTATCTCACATAAGATAGATTGAGATAGAAAACTCTGTTCTGAAAATAGCGCTATAAATACTGCTATCAAACAAGCCGCATTTTGTCCATTCTCTCTATGATAAAGAAAATAGGACAATGACAATATCGTATGAGATAACAGAAAGTTTTCTAGTAGACCGATGGAGGGTTTGCGGGCCCGGAAATCATATTTTCGATATTGAAAATTTGAAACATAAAAATTACCTTTAAAGAATAAGCTAATCGCATAAAAAACTGTCGCTAACGAAATAACGTGCAACGGCTTAGATAAAAAATATCACTTTAGTTCTTATCCTCAAAAAGTTACCCGCCGATCGACTAGATCAGTTTGTTTCTGTGCTTCCCAGTGAGGTATTTAGGGTTCGTATTACTTGATATGCCGACCTATATAGCGATTTTTTTTGGCTTAGATTAACAGGTAGATTAGGTTTCTCCGTGAGTAGTAAGCCCTTGTCTTATTCGAAAATATCGTATTTATGGTTTGGTTTACTTCAAATGAGGTACATAAGGTTTATTGCTTGAGATTAACATGAAGACTATTCATCTCTTCGGGAAGTGGACCAGGTGCTGACTGATTCGCGAGAATCTTATTTCGGGTTTGATTTACATGAAATTTGGTTTTTTCTTAGACTATCTGGTAGACTACTCTGCTCTCCGGGAAGTGGATAAGGGGTTGGCCTATTCGGAAATATCCTATTTATGGTTCGAATTTCCTGAAATTACGTATGTGGGTGGCTTTTTGCTTAGATTAGCAGATAGACTAATTTAGGGTTCGATTTATTTCAAATTCGGTACTTCTTACGAAAAAATCTAAAAAATCTTTTTTTTTTCACGGGAAGTGAATTAAACAATTTGAAAATGTATATATATTAGATGAGTGCATAAGTTCGTGCCCGATTTTAAGTGCAAACTAAATTTGAAATTTTTTGAAGAAAGCGCTTTTTTTAATCAATTATGTATTCACCATCATGTTCGGCAATCCACTCCCAACGTTCAACCAATTTACGGATGCCTGATTCATAGAAATCGCGCGGTTTCTCGTTGAAAAAGGTGTCAAGGTGGTTTTTGACGTCTTCCACATTTTTAAATTTTTTTCCATTCAAATTGTTCTGCAGCGATCGAAACAAATGATAATCAGAAGGTGCAATGTCGGGTGAATATGGGGGATGCGGCATGATTTCCCAATTCATCTCCTTCAGTTTGGCCAGGGTCGGTTTTGCAACATGTGGCCTGGCGTTGTCATGATGGAAAAGAACTCCTTTGCGATTGGCCAAAATCGGACGTTTTTCATCAATTGCTTTCTTCAATTCGACCAATTGCTGACAATACTTGTTGGCAGTGATCGTTTCTCCAGCTGGCAAGAGCTCAAAATAGATCACGCCTCGGATATCCCACCAAATGCACAGCAGTACCTTCATCGGATGCAATCCACCTTTCGACATCGGTTCCGCCCCTTCGTGTGCCTGTTTCCATGTTCTTTTGCGTTGAACATTGTTGTACAGGATCCATTTTTCATCACCAGTCACGAGCCGATCCAAAAAAGGTTCGTTTTTGATCCGTCGAAGCAAAGAAATTGCTGTTGACATACGGTCCACTTTGTTTTTTTCACTCAACTGATGTGGCACCCATGTATCGAGCTTCAAAGTGTACCCAACCTTTTTTAAACGACGAAACGCAGTTGATTTGTTGACGTTCAATTCACTGGCAACCTCTTCCGTCGAAATACGTGAGTTATTCGCAACTAAAGTCCTTAGAACATCGTCATCAAGCTCAGAAGGCCGTCCACTGCGAGGTTGATCTTCGAGGTTAAAATCTCCAGAACGAAATTTCGCGAACCATTTCTTTACTGTGCGGAGTGCTGGAGCACGGTCCAAATAAACTTCGCGAATATCTTTAGTTGCAGCGCCTACTGTTTTTCCTTTGCGGAATTCGTATAACATAATATGACGCATATGATCTTTTTCGTTGTCCATCTTCCATGCGTCTTTTCACTAAGCAACTCAAATCATAATGAAGTCATTTTATGCTTGATTTACAGTTCGGACTGTCACCTTTCCAACGATATATAATATGTAAATATATATTTCTTTCACGAGCGCCACTCTCAAACGACCGTTCGACGGCATCCAGCGCAATCGGGCACGAACTTATGCACTCATCTAATATAAACGATGATTTGGTTAAAAATAATGCGCATTTTTCCTGGATATGGATCCGGGACCTGGAACCAAATTCAAGTTGCGCGAAATATAATCAATACTTTCTTTACTGGAAAGAGATCACTGACAGATTGACAAAAATTATTACGTTTTGGATATCAGTAGAGATCAACCATAGGTTTGATCGCTTCCCATTTTTATTATTCTGCTGATAACGGTCTATTCATATCTGTTCAATTTGAGTGTAAATAAGCATAAATCCGAATGGTACATTTGGCTTACTTCGAGGCGCTAACATTTTCGTGAAGAGCTTTGATCAGCGAAGAAGTGACACACACATACAAATACGTAGTTAGATCTATAACATACTAAAAAAACTGAATATTTCGACTTAGATGTTGCTTAATTCGTTTTTTTTTTCGTTCTTCGCCAGTTAAAATAAAATTGAACAAAATACAGAAAGCCACAACAACATTTAGCCGGGTCTACTAGTTTGCTCATAAAAGGGTTAACGCAAATATCTATTGGTTCATCACTTTTTGTTCTATTCTATCAAAACCACAACAATGTGTGTCTAATACCTCCAACAACAACAGACATACTCGTACATATGTATATATGAACATACGTAAGGGCATATGTATATTTTGAACACGACTTGATATTAGTGTTGCGGACAAACAGCTGATCAGTATATAATTATCTAAAAGTCACACACACAAATTACATATCGCAGATCAAAATAGCGCTCGGCGTCAGCAACGAGATAAATGTTATAATAAAAGTAATTAACATAATCTACACTTTACGTGTGTATATAATATACAATACAATAGCTATATAAGCGTTAACAGTCACATTATCATTGTTGAGTGCGAACAAAAGCTCAACTAAAACAGCCCAGCTTAGCTTTGACCTAACAGCCAGAGCAGTTTAGATCGGTAATCTTCACATTTTATTCACAATTAGAAGCGCAACGACTGCAGACGCGAACTGTTAACAACGGTCACGTAAGGGGAAAAATACAAAAATTAATTTATAAAAAAAAAAACAAAAATAAAATGTTGAAACTGAAACATTTATTGCTTATAAGTGTGGCTTCTTTAGCTTACGCTGAGGATTCGGATATAACAAAATTTATGAAACATTTAGAAGTTATACCAGACCTGATTGCCGAAGGACCAAAGGACTTTTTAAAGGTATGTTTTGCATTAGAACGCGAGTACAATGTCAATAAAACCGTTATATGGTATTTACTCTCACTGTGGCAGGTTATTTTCGACAGCGGCGTTATGGCCGATAAAGGTGTTGAGCTCAAGCCGAGGCAAGTGAAGAATCAACCGAAAGTAGAATGGAAACCAGATTCAGCTGATAGCTACTATACGCTCATCATGACCGATCCAGATGCACCGAGTCGTGCTAAACCCGAATGGCGTGAATGGCATCATTGGTTGGTAGTCAATATACCAGGTAATGCTGTGGATAAAGGTGAAGTGCTTTCGGCTTATGTTGGCTCTGGCGCTCCAAAGGATACCGGCCTACATCGTTATGTATTCTTACTGTATAAACAACCGAAGAAATTGGAGTTTACCGAGGCTCATCTCACGAATACTAGCCCAAAGGGTCGTGAGAAATTTTCCACTAAAAATTTCGTAGCGAAATATGGACTAGGCGTACCGGTTGCTGGTAATTTCTTTCAAGCTCAATACGACGATTATGTACCGGAATTGTATAAGCAGTTGGGATTTTAGAGATGCACTCGAGTGATAAATTTTGATGATATAAATGCGGCAACTTGTTAGCTTGTGTTTCTTCTTTTTTTTTCTATGGTTTATAGTGTTGGAACAAAGCACGTTAAGCAAGTTTTATTAATTATAATTTTTGTGCAAGCCTAGGTACAAATTAGATACATACATATGGACAGCTGAGCAAGTAGACATGCATCAAGCACATATACACCTAAGTACATACGAGTATGTATGTATTAAACTGCACATTCACATCGATTAACAGTTACCAAAGTGGTGCATAAATTAATATTTGAATATTTATGAAAGTTTGTCAAGTTTGCTATGATGAAAGTGAAAATATACATATGTTTGATTCCTACATACATACATACACATGTAATATTATTATATAAAGCAAACTCACAGTGAGCGGTGGGTTGATTGGTTGGTTTTCTAATGTCGGAAGACAAGGTCAGTCTGGTTATTAGTTGTATGTACATTTGTATGTATGTACGAGTAATATTTGCATATATCTATTAAGTTTGTATGTATGTTTTTATAAAAATATTATGTGAAAAACAAGTAAATTTCATGCATTCACTGTTTCCAATAAAATGAATATACATACATATATGTATATGTGTATGTATTTAAAAGCAAAAATGTATTATTCTACCACTATGCCCCGTAATGCTGTGATTTGACGGCCAACATGATAAAAGCAATCCCTTCCCATTTGATACTTTTTAACAGAGTAGACGCCTACTTTTTTTAAGCTTCCTACAGTAGACATACGATAAGTGTCTACTTAGATGTATGTATGTATGTAGAGGATGCAGATGCAGAAGAAACGATTTTTTTTTACAAATGGTTCATGCAGCTCAGTGTCTTCTGGGTAGACAAAAAACATCCATTTGTGGGTGATCTAAAGTGAGAAGACGAATTCCCCTTCTGTTGTGTTTAGGGTTGAGAGCCCCCCCATATGAAACATATACTACAATGAAGAATAAAGATTGACATCACTGCCGTCCAAGAAGTGCGTTAAACGGGACAAAGATAGAAACGAGTAGGTCCTTGTGATATTTACTACAGCGGCGGCCATATAATGGCGAGCAAAATTGTTTGTGGTGGAAGAGATACTCCGTCACCAGGTACTTGTGCATGAACTCGCGGATTGCGGCGAGTATTCTTATAAGCGCTACCCTCGCCACGATGTCCAATTGTGCTTGGCGCTTTTTGAGCCAGGGTGGGCTAAAAAGATATCTTACATGTAGACACAACTGTCGTAAAATTCAACTTCCACTACGAAACATCCCCAAATGGGTTGAGGCACAAGCACAAAACATTCTCCAAACTACTTGGCTGCCTCCAGATCGAAAAAACCCACAGTCATATCGATCACGTTGTGATTGACGGAAAACATTTAACCAGTCCGAGGTCCAAACATCGACTCGGATCACTATTTAGTCGGAGCGAAGATACCCACGTACCCCTGTGTATCAAACAACGCGCGTCCTTCCATGTGTTTGTTGGAAGGTTCAACTTCGAAAAGCTGTCAGCACGAAAATCAGAACTGTTTTCTACTCGGCTTGCACACCTGCTTTCTGAGAGCACTCATCAACAACTCGAGCTGGGGAATGACAACTCAAGAATATTATGTAAATGTATGTAACTAAAGTCGTGTAATTTGACTACGGCAAAGAAAATCAATATATCAGAGGTCCTCATAACCATCAATTTAAAGTGAAATACACAATAAAGAAATCAATTACTACTGGACAATTCTTAAACGCCATGGCTTGTAATCAGTCTGGTTGTTCCTTTATTTCGAGCATCTCTGCATTTACATATTATATTTCCATGCTTCAAAGTGAGTTTCCTGCCAAAGAAAAAAAATAAAAAAATTCAAAAATAACCATACAATCATACATACATATAGGTATATTTATATTTTCTTTAAAAAAAACGACAACTACATAAGCCATACTCAGTGTAGGGATATGTCAAATAGGATAGTGTCTCCAACAATTTGTATATCCCATTTACATTCTGTTACATTCTGTTATATTCTAGTTCAGCTAAGGAAAGCACTTCTCATCGTTGTAATGGCCTCAGCGACGTCTTCTGGTGGCGTAGAAGAGTTCTTTAAACAGCACAAAGTTGTGCCTGACGTCATACCAGTGGCACCCAGGGAATTTCTCAAGGTTGTAATACATATCAACATATATACATATGTATGTATGTATGTATGCATTTAGTGAATAATAAGAGGTATGTAATTAATTTCTTGTATTTTAGATAAATTATAAAGGCGTCACAGCTGAGAATGGGATTGAATTAACACCAACACAGGTCGCAGCACAACCCACAATCGAATGGAATGCTGAGAGTGAAGCTTTTTATACGCTAATCATGACCGATCCGGATGCACCAAGCCGCAAGGATCCTAAATTTCGGGAATTCCATCATTGGTTGGTCGCAAATATACCTGGCGGAAACGTGAACAACGGAGATGTATTAACCGCTTACGTAGGCTCTGGGCCGCCACAGGGCACTGGACTACATCGATATGTTTTCTTAATTTACAAACAACCTGCTAAAATACGCTTTCAAGAGCCACGCATACCGAAAAACAGTAGTCAAAATCGACCGAATTTCAGATCAGCCACATTTGCAAAGAAATACAAATTAGGTAATCCTATTGCTGGCAACTTCTATCAAGCACAATGGGATGAGTACGTGCCAACTGTGCATAGGCAGTTGGCTGGTAAAAAATAAAGATTTCTGTCACACGTTCATAAAAAAATATTAATAATAATATATAAATATAAAAATGTTCAGATATTCATATATTTATATGTATATAAATTTTAACGGAATATAAAGAAGCTTTATTTCGTTTGGTGCTTTTTAAATACTGTGAAAAGCTTAATAAACTTTAGCAAAAGCTTATGCATATATGTCTCTAATTATATATTACGCGTATGAACGTTCATCTTTGCTTTCGTTGCGGAGTAAACAACACATTTTTAGAACTGCTTTATTAAGTTTTTTTTTAATACGCGAATCCTCTAAATTTTTCCAGGAACTTTTAAATGTCATACTCAAGGATTATTAACACACTTTTCCTTTGTACAATTATCGCCAGTACAAATGGGAATTTAAACAAAGTAAAACAGGTTTTTGAAAAAAACGAAGTCGTTCCAGATGTCATACCTCTTGCACCGAACGAGTTTCTCAAGGTATTGTGAAATATTTCTATCGTATATGTTGCAATTAGCTCACAAGCTTTTTTTTATATATAATATTTAACAAACAGATCACTTATGACAATGCCTTAGAAGTCAGAGCTGGTGCCGAGCTAACACCAACGAATGTGAAGAACCAACCATTGGTGCAATGGAGGGCACAACCACATACTTATTACACACTTATTATGACGGATCCTGATGCACCCAGTCGTATTGAACCAAAATTTCGGGAGTTTAAGCATTGGTTAGTTACCAACATTCCTGGTAATGATGTGTCCCAAGGTGAAGTGTTGGCCGCCTATGTAGGTTCAGGACCGCCGCAGCATACAGGACTTCATCGTTATGTATTCCTATTATATAAACAACCGGGAAAATTGGAATTTGATGAAGAACGTGTTGGCAATAATAGTAGAAATGGCCGACCAAATTTTCGCGCTTCTGCATTTGCCGAAAAATACAGCTTAGATAACCCCATAGAAGGAAATTTTTTTCAAGCTCAATGGGATGAATATGTAACAACTGTGCAAAAGCAATTATCGGGAAATTAATGATTTTAAAAGACCTTATTTTCATATAGTAATCATATATCATATAAGCGGCAAAACACAATTAAAATTAATCAAGTTTACTTTTATTTTTGTAAGACTTTATCAAAATTATTACTTCGTTTATTCATTGTTGACTATATTTATGCATTAATCTCTAAATTCAGTAGTCGCAGAATCTTTCATTTGCCTGCTGCTGTTGCTAATGGATTTCGCAATACCAAAATCACTGAATCTCCACGCAAAAACATTTTGGATATGAAGCGATCCTTATTAACAGGTTTCACCTTTTTCTTTCCTTTCCCTGTACGTGGAAGCTCAGTCCACATTTCTTTCACAGACTCCAAGACCATGTTGCAATGACGATCGAAAGCCTTAACGCGACCAAGAAGTTTCTTGTTATTCCGACAGTTGATTAACACTTGTGTATTGTTCTTAACAGATTGTGTGAGTACCGAAAGAGGGCCAGTGTTGAACTCCTCTTCCTCCTGGCGGGCGAGCTCTTCAGGTGTCAGTTCAGATTTTGGTTTAACGAGAGCCCTGCAAAATGTTTGAGGTTAAGCAATATATTCAACCAACGGACGAAGACTACTCACATTTCTTTATTAATTTATTCAATCAGACGGGAATTATTTATGTGAAAATTGATCAACACTTGTATTTTACGAGGAATTTTATTTCAAACCTTTATAATTGATATCCACGAGAAATAGACCCTCTAATTTGCCTAAAAAACTTTTGGCATTGATTGAAACCAAACAAAACAAGCCGACACCGGGTGCCTCTGAATTGATAGGGTGAAACATATGCCGATCAATTGAATTATTTTTTATTATGTATTTCATTTCCCACTTTGAGAACAAATATCAAAATAAATATATTAATTTTGTATTACTTTGATTTTCATTTCGAGATACTATTATTTAAAATTAATTTGAGTTAAGCAAAACTTCGACCTTATCAAATTATGAAAATCGATAATACGAGAACATAACCGATTAGCTTTCTGCTCAGACGTTGTTTTCGTCACTCATTTTTTATAAGTGCAGAAAAATATTTAATCAAATTGATAGAAATTAATAATTATTAATACAATGACAACACCTCAAGTGATGCGCATTATGGCCTTGTCCATTAACACTGCGGCGCGAGCCGGTTCAATCATAAGAGATGTGATGCAGCGAGGAAATCTCGGTATTGTTGAGAAAGAGGTCGCACTATCATTGACATAAGTTATTTCCAAACTAAATATACTAGCTTTATAGGGTAAGGATGATCTACAAACTGAAGCTGATCGTTCGGCGCAACAATGTATAATTGCATCTTTATCCCGGAAATTTCCTAATCTTAAAATCATTGGCGAAGAAGGTGATTCCAACTTAGATGTAAAGCCGGAATGGCTGGTTACAGATGAAAACGAAGAATTTCTAAAGAATTGCTGCCCTGAGGAATGGCGTGAAATTAAAGAGGAAGAATTCGTAGTGTGGGTAGACCCCTTAGACGGCACGTCCGAATATACTCAAGGTATGTCGGTTGTAGTTGTACTGCACATTTAATTGAAATAATATGGTTTTTTTTTATTCAGGCCTGTTAGAACATGTGACTGTGCTTATCGGTGTGGCAATTAAAGATCGCGCAGTTGGTGGTGTCATATACCAACCTTATTATAAACAATCTAACGGAGAAATAGGTAGAGCTATTTGGGGTCTTAAAGGGCTAGGAACTGGTGGTTTTAAGCCCACTAGTCCTCCAAAAGGTCAAATGATTATTACGACAACACGTTCGCATTTAACGCCATTGGTACAGCAAGCACTCGATGCTCTCTCACCAACAGAAGTTATCAAGGTGGGCGGCGCTGGATACAAAGTACTACAATTGCTTGAAGGCAGAGCACATGCTTATGTATTTGCAAGTCCTGGTTGTAAACGTTGGGACACTTGCGCACCGGAAGCTGTGCTCGAAGCATATGGAGGCATTCTAACTGATCTAGCAGGTGTTCATTACTCATATGCGGCTGAAGTAGATTACAAAAATCGAATGGGTGTCCTAGCGACCGTTCCTGAACTGAAGCATTCCGATATCGCTAATCAAGTACCCAAGGATATTTTAGATGCTTTGCGCTCATAAATACTTAAGAGGAATTTCCTGATTTCTTTTTTTTTTTAAATTCCCCTAAAAGGTTATGGAAATCATCAACAGCAAGTGATAAGTAATTGATTTGTTTTTGAGCACAGGTGGAGCTCATGTGTTTATTAAAAAAATAATAACGTAACTGGTAAACTAATTAGAATATGTTGACGAAATTCTAAAAATGCGCGAAAATAAATGCAAGCAGCGCATGATTTTACATAAAAATAGATAAATGCTAATAAATATAGTTACGATACTTAACTACGTCTAGAGTGAATTATTGCTAGATGTATTCAAAAATCGATTGCGTTTCGCCTTCGCCATTTTACACGAATTAACGGATGCAGCAAATCGTAATGATTTCACCGACTCTACAAAACAGTCTAGGAATGGTGCCACATTAATGAACATCAGTGTTTTTGAATTGCCTCCTAAAGATGGCATTAATAAATGCGTTAACTTTGAATTCCGGTATGGGATATGATCCTGTTTCTGTAGTAACGCCAAAATAACATTGGTAAGCTCAGAAAGGGATCGATTAATATTTTTCGTTTCGTTCATGCGTGTACTAGTCTTAGGCGATTCGGAACCCGCAAGATCTACCAGATTAATGGTTCCTAAAGAGGTCTCGTTCTTCTCAGCATGAGTTCCTATGAGTTCTATTTTTGTTACTGCATGAGATCGTGAAGATCGCTCATTCCCTGCAGTTGAGGCTGTCGCCCGATTCATTTTTGCCATACTCATTAGCTCCCGCAAACGTGACGCTGACGTAACTGATTCCTGAGTTATATTTGAAACATAGATATCGTTCTTATTATGTTTAGCCATGCGAATTTCCATATCCTTTTGTTCATTGCTCAACAGGTCATAGAGAACTTCATTGTAGATTTCCAAAAAAGTTACACGAATCTCATATTCCCAACCAAGACGTTTATAATTCTTAATAGAGTCGAAAAGTAAATCAACGGTACGTGGAATTACACCAACATTAGTTGGAATACCATCCATTGTAAATGTTTTACCACTTCCTGTCTGTCCATATGCAAATATGCAAATATTATAGCCATCTAATGCTGATTGTATCAAAGGAGATACCATCTCAAAGATATCTTCTTGCTTAGAATTTGGATGAAAAACATGATCAAAAGAGAAAGTATGTGCAACACATTTATTCCTGTTATCAAAACTTTGTATCTCAACTGTAGATTCGTCGAGGTAATTCCAACCGCAAAGCATTTTATCTTGTTCGAAGTCCAAAGGTGGTCGTACGCGACAAAACACTCTTATATTGCCACGTAGGTCCATGATGGTGTTATGCAATTCTTTCCGTTCCATATTGGCCCGAAATAGTTGCTCCTTACAAGCAGTTAAATCTTCTTTTAAGATATTATTTTCATCCGTTAAATACGATGTCTGTGCACGTAGATCTTGAACTTCATTATGAAAAATGTCGTGGGCTTCCTTCACGATCTAAAATTTTTTTGGAAATTGTATGCACATAAATTATTATTATATATATGTATTTAAAATAAAAGGACTCACTTTGTAATTTTCCGTAAGCTTTGTTAACTCTTCTTTAGTTTTTACCAATGCAGCAGAAAGAGAATCAATTTTCAGATTTAATGATTTAACTTGTTGGTTCAAACAGTCTCGTTCAATATTAACTGTTTTAAGTTCTTCTTTAGTTTTAAATAGCTGATCTTGTGATTCTTCGAGTTGTTCAGGTAAACCTTCTAGTGAACTCATTTGTTCGCACTTTTCTTCATATTTCGCCTTTAACACTTGGTGTTTCTCTGACAAATCGTTGAACCGAGCTTTATAATCGTATGGAGGTATCCGTTTGTTAATGGTTTTACCAGCTCCTGTAGTAGAAATTGATGTTGCCGTAGATGACGTACCTTTCCTAACTGTTGTTGTTGCAGTATTAGCTGTTCCTGAGCGTAAAGAAGTACTGCTACCGACTTTAGTAACTATTGGATTGCGCGTTAATTGTTTCTTTACAGCTGCTGTGGATGAAGCTACTACGTTTCCAATTCGCGGTGGTTTGGAAACTGTACTATTTGTACCGAATGACGAAGCTGGTGCATTATTAGAAACGCCTGAATTTACAAGGCGCATTGTCTTGGCGGGAATAGGTGCAATACTTATATCTGGACGCTTCATTGCTCGTATATCTCGAATATCACAAGCAGATCGGCTACGACGCAATTTAGTACGATTTGCACCAGTTGTGACTGAAGAACGATGTATGTCCGGTGATCCTGCACGTTCTTGAAATGAGAAAACACATATTATACGAAAATGTATATCAATTTTAAATTTGTGCTTTCACTGGTCTTTTAATTTAAATCCGGTAACAAATTTTATTCAATTACATATATTTTACTTGAAGACAAAATCTTAATAAATTATACCTCTGCGAAAACTATTTGGAAGATTAGTTAAATCTCGCGCAAGGGGCGGTAAAATGTCCATTCCGCACATAGACACACTTGCTGTTTTTGAACCAAAACCAAGCGTTGCTGTTTTTATTCGATCCATAGGCAAAATATTTTTCGTTAGCGTTGTTGGGCGTTTTATGCCCGATGGCTTTGGCAATCTCGAGTCCATCTTTAATAACTTTTCTTTAATATACTATCAATAATGTTTAAAATATTTAGCACGAAATTGGCATCAAAACGAAAATACTCGGCAACAAAATCCAATATCAAAACTGAGAAAATTCTGCCGTTAAATTGTACTAAAACTTAGTCTAATTTGAACGAATAGGAGATATTCGGAAAAATGTTACACAGGGTTGATATAAAAATAAAAATATTATACACTATTTTGAAAATTACTTCAAGATATTCGCATATGTAATTATGCAATTTCAAAGGAAAAATTCGCAAAATATTCTTCAAGTATTTAATAAAAGTGACTCCATACAAAATTTTGACAATCTCTAAGTCGTAAAATCGTACTTTGGCATCGTTTGAATTCGCCTAATATTGCAGTTCTTGTGGCTTTATTTCTTACGAATTTTCACATTACGAATGCATTTTTTTACATTAATCTTAGAAAGTTAGCGCTTTAAAAAAAAAGCTTCTTATGGGTATCTGAACTGTCTGCGAGTTCGCATAACAAACAGAAAAGAAAGTTCATTTTTGCGAAATTACTTCTAACGAAAGGGTGCAACTGCCCTTGTTATCATTATGAAAAATATATAATTTGAACGTTGATGCTGTTCCCTTTTCTGCCTGATGAAGCGTTACATTATTGAAAAGCTTTCCTTTCTTAGTCTGAGTTATTGTAATTTCCGTTTTGGTGTCGCGAATAGAAACCAAAACGTGTCGAAGGAGCACAGTGACAAGGTGCGCTCCCTGATTCGTCGACGATAACCCCCTGCAAACTAATATTTTGTCGAAAAAAAATATTTTCGTGTAAGCTCAGACTTAGTTTAGGCATGATGGTATAGCTGTTCAAAGCAACACTGTTTCCTAAGGCAACAAGTGGGAAAGAGACTACTATTTACTTACTTTGCCTATATGTTATTTCACCATGCTGATGAGGAATATAGCACACAAAGAAATAGTAAACGGCAAAGCAGATGAAGAAAAGTAGAGCGGTTGGGTACAAGTAGGCGAAAATTCACAGCTGAAATATATCTGGACGAAGAATAAATATTGGCCATTTTTTTAATGCTGTAAAAGTGATAAAGCGAAAAGTCAGTTCGTAATCTAAAAGAAACTGCATTTAAACATCTGGGATAATTCCAAGGTAAGAAAGTCTAACAAAACAAAAGAGAAAGCCAGTAAAACTCAAATCTCCATCGACATGCTTTGCTGTTTGTCGCCATTTATTACGTTGTTGCTATCGCCATGACCTTCGTCTGTTGCCTTCCGTGCATTGCCATCGTATAGTCTATCATCAAACATTGTGTAGATTGAATTCCAGAAATTAAAAGAAGTTTTTTCAAAATTATAATGATTAATGCAAATCTTAGAAGAATACAACAGATCGACATAATATTTATATTGACATAATATTTTGTATTGAGTTATGCGGCATGATTTTTCTTAGACTGCACATCTTTGTTTTCACCAAATCAACGGGTCTGCAACTGTTTCTAAGTGTTTTCTTCGGTTTAAAGTGATTTAATTACACAAAATTAGTGATTTCGCTATAATTATAAGGTTCATAATATCTGGCAAATGAGGTCACGTACGCTTATCGTACCATATGCTAGTCAAGGTGCACGCAAAAACAATATCTTTTAAAGGTAATTAGAAAAAAAAAAAACATTTCAGTTTGCTATGATGCAGTTTCTACTTTGGTATTTCTTTTGAAATAAAGACGAATGCGATTGAATATTGTGTAAACTTTCCCCCTATTGTTTGTTTTGGCCAAGAAGAGTAGAGGGACAGTGAGATGCTGAGGAGTTTGTGGGCCGATTACTCATATTTGTTGTTTTCTCTTTACATGTTTCGCATACATACTACTATTTTCAGTGCGAAATTACGAAATTAGGTACGACACAAGAGATATTTGTAAACGCCAAACAAATGAAATAGGAAGAGGTAAAGTGAACAAAATAAATATTTAATAGTGAATAGGTGAATAAGTAACTGTTGCATTTTGTTTTGACCAATAGTTTGCGAGGGAAATTGTGATGGTATTTGAAAAACAAAATAATAAACTAATTTAGGACATACGTTGGTGGTTTTTAAATCTTTTATTTCCTGATTTCATTTAAAAAAAAAGACTATAAGCGCTTTTACGCGTGTAGTACTCAACGAGGATAATTGACTGACACTGAACACAAAATTATCGAAACTCTAAACATACCCTGCTAAAATGTTCTAATCAGAAACTATATTTGGGCAACTAAATAAATTATAATAGTTTCTATTGATAAATTTTAACATATATGTATATATTTTTTCTTTTAGGGAATCCAATCCATTAACGTCAAGGGTATCCATTTAACAGAAAGCATGGATTTTTCCAACGTCCTTAACCGCAGTGAGCCACATCAACGCACTATCATTCACTTAGACATGGACTGTTTTTATGCACAAGTCGAAGAGATACGTGATCCCAGCCTGCGTATTCGTCCACTTGGCATACAGCAGAAAAACTTCGTAGTCACTTGTAATTATATTGCCCGTGAATTTGGTGTTAAAAAATTAATGGCTGTAGAGGAGGCACAACGTCTATGTCCGACACTGACATTAGTAAATGGAGAGGATTTAACACCCTATAAGCAAATGTCTCAACGTATATTTGATGCACTTCTGACTTTCACACCATTGGTGGAGAAACTGGGATTAGATGAAAATTATTTAGATGTGTCTGCGCAAGTTTGTAGACGAATTGAAAGTAATAATTATATACAGTCTGAGAATTCAACAATTTCCACTACTTCATTCCCAAAAATCGAGGGTCATATATATCCAGATACCGGTGATTTTATGTCGAGCTGTAATTGCGGTTGTGCTCAGCGACTAGCAGTTGGTTCACAAATCGCCAAGGAAATACGTTTGGCATTGCTTGAGCAACTGAATGTCACTTGCTGTGCTGGTATATCATACAATAAATTATTGGCTAAATTAGTAGGATCTCAACATAAACCAAACCAACAGACAGTTCTCTGTTCTGACTATGCGGAGCAGTTTATGCGAGATTTAAATGGCTTGCATAAAGTTACTGGCATAGGACAAAAAACTGAATCCCTACTTTTGGAAAGTGGCATTGCTAATATTACCGAGTTGCAAAACTGTAATATGGATACGTTACGAAAAAAATGTGGATTTGAAACTGCTACGAGGTTAAAAGAACTGGCGTATGGTAAGGATACGAGTTCGGTACGTGCATCGGGGAAACCAAAAACTATTGGTCTTGAAGATTCATGTCGTCCGATTTCCGTTCGCACCGAAGTTGAAGAACGTTTCCGTTTACTGCTATTGCGTTTATTAGAACAGGTAAGTGATAGTTTTGCTATTAATAAACAAGCCTATTTAATTTTTGGTCCTTATTAGGTGGCAGAAGATGGTCGTATACCAATTGCAATAAAAGTAGTTTTACGTAAATTCGATTCTCAGAAGAAGACCAGTCATCGTGAAACGAAGCAAGTAAACATTTTGCCCTCACTCTTTAGATCACTGCCATGCTCTGAAAGTGGTGGACCAAAGGTTGTCCTTGCTGAAGGCGCTCAAGAAAAGTTACTAAAGATTATACTACGGCTGTTCGAAAGAGTCGTTGATCTTACAAAACCTTTTAACATTACGCTTATCGGTCTAGCGTTTTCAAAGTTTCAACAACGCAAACTTGGCTCGTCTTCGATTGCCAACTTTCTAATAAAGAAAACCGATCTAGAAGTGCAGTCCATTACTTCGTTGACCAACACAGACGTACCCACGTCATCTGAGAGTCCAACTGCATCGATATCATCAACGAATAGTGATGAAGCATTCCGTTCATCACCCACCACATTTCAGCCCAGTGATCAATTCTATCGTAGACGTGCAACCGCAGCTTCGCCTATACCCATGCTGGTCGACAATGGATCTGAATCTGCGGCAACCAATTCAGACTTTTCTGATTTCTCTGAAACCGAAGTTGAACCTTCGCCTAAAAAGAGTCGCATCGGTCGCCTACTAATGGCAAAACGTCGCTGTCTGGGAAGTTCTGCAGTTTGCAGTTCTAACGACGCAGCTGATGTTGCTTCGCCAAGTAAGTTGCGTGTTTGTGATCTGCGATTAAACTCACGTGACAGCGAAAAAGATTTTGTAACGAGCCCAACAAACGGTCCTACAAGTACCAGCAGTTCTCTTGCTGTTGCATCTACATCCACATCTGCAATGGCATCGTTTATATCTCTCCAACGTTTTCGTACAGTTCAACCACCCGCCACACTACTTACGAAGGTTAACCGAGTTTCAGTGGGAAATCGGAATTTCACTACACAACGTCAAATTTCGTCTACGCCATCATCTACTACTTCATCACCATTACCGTCACCCATGGATGAAACAATTAGTAACGCTAGTACACCAGCAAGTTGTGACATCCCAGCAGGAAAACAAGAAGCTGAATCTATTACTTCTACAACTAGTTTGCCTTCAGAATCCTTTGCTGAATTATCAACCACATCCGAAGTAGTATCCATCACAACAACCACAAACACAACAACTATCACGGGAAATCTTTCCAATATACCATGCCCCGCTGGTGTAGATACGACCGTTTTCAATGAGCTACCCTTTGATGTTCAAAATGAATTGATTGCCTCCTGGCGTACATCTCTTGCTGCAGCAGCAGTTGCTGTTGCCAATGGCAATATCAGACCAAACAGTAATACCATTTCGTCTGGTACACCACATTCCGGTCAGGGGAGCAGCGCTGTAGCTGCTAAAGCTGGCGGTGTCGCGCCCACTGCAAATGGTGGACAGAAAAATACTTTATATCGGTATTTTCTAAGGAATAAGTGATACTCTGTGCGGCTGCTATAGCTAAACGCCATTGGAATGCATTTATTTAATCAGATTGGTTGAATGTATATATGTTTAAGGAAATTAGTATACCGAAGAAAATGCACCATCTGACCATCAACTCATACCATAAACTTTTTAAGAAAAACTGTTTCCGTCATTTATTGTAAAACTGAACGAAAATTTGTTAAAGCAAAAAAATATTAATGCCAAAATTGTGTTTAATAAAAAAAATATATATAATATAAATAAACTAATTAGTGTTCTATTCCCAATTCAATTGGTAAGTACCATGCTCCTTGGTCCCTAAAACTCACTTTATCCCCCAAAGGCGGTTCAGAACTAGCTTTCGCATAATATTGAAATGCTGTTTTGCATTCCAATTTTTTCTTTCAACTCCGTTTAAAAACAAAAGCCAAATTTTATTTATTATTTCTTGACATTTTTTATTTTATTGGTTTAAATACTCGCTAATAAAATAACTCACTAACTAAACATATCAACAAATTATGTTTATTTTGACACATACAATGTGTTTTGAAACTTCTAAACATTTTTTAATCCCAAAAATGGTTTTAAGAAACCATAGTTGAAAACTTGATACAAGTAAGCGTTAAGATACTATTTATAATACTAAATATGCATACGTGTTTTGATGCGATGCAGGTATTCATGGGCAAATATTAAAATATGAATGGAAATTAATCGCCTTAAATTAATATTGTACGTATCGCCTATTTTAAAATTAATCAATATAAAACGTTTAATAAATCGATAGCAAGTGAGATGCTATCAGTGGGCGTCATAATTAGCAGACATGAAATTTAGGAAATTCCAACTTGTTGAATAATTTATGATTTCTTGCACTTGATGATGTGCTCATCTTATGTGTATATAAATACATATTTTTTTTTTGCTATAAATGGTATTTACATTAAATCTAGTGACTTAGCCAACCTACTTTTACAAAGTACTTTCGCAAAGAATTTTCAATCGGCGACAAATTATTAACTAAAGGGGCACCGCTTAGTAAAACTGTTTTTAGTGATAAATATGTTGTAGGTGGCAGGTTAAAGTCTTTGCAAACCTGTTGTTCATTAGTGGATAGTAAGTTGCTACCCAAGGGTTGTGGTAGATGTTTTAGTTCATCCAATTGTGCGCGCAAAATATTACTCATAGATACGGTTACTGGGGAGTGTTGTGGTTTAATATCTATGTTATTATTACTTTCCTGTAGCAAGAGTTGTTGTAAGTTTTGCTTTTCGCCTACGACGACGTCGTTTATTTGCAGTTGTGGCGGTTGTTGATTTTTTATCGCCATCATCGTTGTGTACTGCTGCTGCTGTATTGGTAATAACTGTTGTAGATTTCCGTTCGATAGTTTTGTGGTCATCATGCCCGCTCCCGCTATCATCCCCGCTTGCGATATCGTCGTAAGAGCCGACGATTCCCGACAGCTATCCAAGTAATTTCTGTTGTGCAATGATGCGCCGGAGGAGGTCAGGTCGCCGGTGTGGAGCGTGTTTCTTAACACGATTGAACTTGGATTTGCCTCGCTTCCGTTTGACAGTTCGCTAAGAAATTAAAAAAGGAACATATGTATATATTTACGTCTAACACATTGTTCGATAATAGATTACTTACGGTTTTCTGCTGCTGTGCTGTGGAGAGTGTAAGGAAGAGCCTGGCAGCCGACGACTTCCAGTGCTGAGATGCATGTTGTCCTGTGGTTAAACATTGTCTTATACATCCGTTCAAACGTTCGCCGCTTGGTGTGCCGATAATACACGCAAACTGAATATCGTGGGCATGGAATTGAAAGTAATAAAACAAGTTTTCGGAAAACCAGAAAATTTTCATTACAAAAGTCGTACAGAGTAACTACACAAATCTCTTCTAAATACGACACGATATTCAATCTTTCGTGTATTGTCAGTTTCAGCGAATACTATTTATTAAAATTGTTTGGTCAATGCATGCATATATGTACATACATATATACAAGATGTAAGGACCAAACGATTTTCAAAAATCATATACATACATATATGTATATATGTATCAAATAATCTAGATATTAATTTGAATACACTATCCTACCAACTGCAAATACACTAAAACACTAAATATCTACTTAACACATAACATTCGCAAAGAAAACACTCACCGTTTTTCCATGACCGTAGGGTCCAGTTGAGCGATTCAATGCCATTGCAGCATGTTGCTCAAAGTGGCGGCATTCGTCAATTTTAGTCAGTCCATTATAACGATAACGGCATAACTCCGCAAGTCGGATGCGCAGCTCTTTTTCCCGTTCCAAAGACATTAAGAGACGTTCATATTCATTAGAGGTGTAAAACTGTGCAAACACACGAAACCGATCCCGAAACTCTTTTTGTTCCCGTGTCATGCCAGGATGTTGAGCATAATTACGGTTTCGAAAAAAATTCGCTACTAATTGATAATCGCGCACCAAACGCTTGCGACGTACACGTTCTCGCAAACGGCGTGTATACATATCTACATGTGCTAATTTCAATAAATAATCAGCTTCAGTGTCTTCTGTGCTAAGCGACATTGTTGATATTAGTTGTTCAGCTGTGGGATCATATTCTCTTTCGAAACCATCACGGTTGGGCATGTAGCCCAATTGAGCGGCTTCTTCGCTGGTTATGTCCAAAGGCGGTAGACGCTGTAAAGCTGTTGCGCCCAAGGGCCCATTATCCTCAGATGTATGATCCACTAGCAGTGGTCTTTGGGATTGCGCGGGTGTCCAAGTATGTAAACCAATAGTGCCATTAACAAATCGTTTTACGTACTCTTCCTTGGCATCTTCTGCAGACTTAGTTTCAATATGTTTGCTTATATCCTCCCAATTACCAAAGCCGTATTGTTCTATAGCATCCAAAAGACGTATCTCCTCCCTGGCTGTCCAAGCCCCTTTGCCACGAAATACTGACAATATGGCCGTTCCAGTATCCATGAATTGATAAGCATGATTGTTTTGATGTGCACCTATCTCCGCACCAGAAGCAAAACACTGCAAAAATATTTAAAACAAATAAAAAAAAATAAAATGTCAAATACTTCCAGCTGTTTATATCTCCCTATTCCAATCTATACAAAGTGATTATTTTGTCACTCGTTATAATACGTCACCTACATACAAAAGAGTAGAACGCAAATTTACTCGCTACTGTGTTAAAAAACGAATGCCTCCCGAACAATTTTTAACAAACACGAAAAAGTTTCAAATGTTTGATTACTCACCTGAAGGCATAAATCAAAATTTTCACATTCTGCACAATGCACACGAATTCCAGATATATCATCTTGGCAATATGTACAATAATATTTAGTAAATAAATCTCCGATGCTAGTCATAATTCCCTCGGCAAAAGTTCACTTCTGTGGATCTGCTTCCAGAAAAAGAGACTTTACAAATGGCGACAAATAACAATGTTGCCACAATATTTTATTTTTGTTGCCGTTTCACATTACCCCACTAACCACAGCATGCGTAATAGGAAAGATCGTATTCACATACGTTCTTAGCCAATGAGGAAAATAAGGAATAAATCAACTTGCAACTGGTCTCTGTGGCACAAAAGTCAATAATGGTAGCGGCAAGGGGGAATAACTTTTGATTTACATGGCACTCTCATATATATGTTGTATCAGTTGAGTTAGAATATATTTGTATGGTTCGGTTTTATCAAAGAACGTATATTAATATACGTTCCTTCTTTCGGTTTTATTCATATATGTAAGTTTTTTTTTAATTAATATACGTTCTTTGGCGTTGACATATGCTTAATTCATGCCAACATAACTGCATAGAACGTGTATTAATATACGTTCTCTGCTTTAGGTATTTTCTAAGTTCCAAACCTGTTTCTTTTTAGCAAATTGCGAATGATGTTAGATACTGTAAGAAGAAGCATTAGTGTGTATTTTAAACTGCAACCAGATAAATCTTGTATAAAATATGCACAGTATTGCAAAATATGCATAAACGCAAAGCAGTGAATAAACAAACGCTAATTTAATTACCGGGATTTTATTAGTGCTATCGGATATACTTTTGGACTTGCCGAGTTGGTTCTTATTTTGGCTGCAAAACCTACAATGATATGTGTTTTTCAAGTGTCGTCCGAAATATTTAGCAAACACAGGGAAAATTGTTGAGCAATAAACAATTGTGAAATAATCGAATTTATAAATATCTACCAAAATATGAAGCCGTCAAAACACCGTTTATCCAGCTTGGCAGAAGATATTACCATTCCAGAAGATGCACCTTTCCGTCTCCGCCTACACATTCTTTTTGGTCAGATCGAAAAAGAATTTGAACTTTTGTATTTGGAAAACTTAAGTTGTAGGTTTCTTTAGAATAAAATATAAACAAGCATATATTTAAAAAATATTTAATTACTCAGTGCAGGAAAAACTTGATCACTGTATGAATAAAGATCTTATTTGCTCATATGAACGTTCGGCTGGAGTGATTGCTGCAGGTGGTAGCAGTGCGAATGTAATCGGAAGTGGTTCGTCAAATGCGACTTTACCTACTACGGCCCAAACAAATATTATATCTGCCATCGTACATGATGAAGGAGATACTACCGCACTAGCACCAATAATTGGTACTGGTGGAGGCGGCAAAGGATTGAAAGCTAAATTTACTTCAAGTAGTAGCAAGGTAAAAGCTAGTAATAAAATAAAAGCTCAGACGAGTCGAATAGTATCGAGCTTCAAGGCTCAAACAGTGGTAAGCCAAGTAACGCGAGAGTTCTGTGGACATAAGGATGGAGTTTGGCAAGTAACTGCCAAAGTTGGTCAGCCAATTATTGGCACAGCTTCCGCAGATCATACTGCGTGTATTTGGGGTATAGAAAATGGTCGATGTTTACTTCAGTATCAGGGGCATGCAGGTTCAGTTAACTCTGTGAAATTTCATCAGAATCGGGACTTAGTATTGACTGGTAGCGGCGATGGAACAGCACATATCTGGCAGGCAGCAGTTAATTGGGAATCCTCTAAGTATGTAAATATGAATTACTATTCTCCATTTTAAGCCTTGCATATTTGTTCTGTTCATAAAGGAGAGGACATTCATCAGAGGAGGAGCTTGACGACAGTGATGAACAGGTAGAAGATCGAGATCGCGTTGATACTTTGCGTACTCCCTTGTGTGAGTTTACTGGTCCGGGTGGTCATTCCTCTGTGGTAGTAGCAGCTGACTGGTTGCCCAGTATGGATCATAGGCAAATAATTACAGGTAGTTGGGATCGGACTGCGATTTTATGGGATGTAGAATCCCGTGAGCCAGTACAGACTCTAACAGGACACGATCATGAATTGACACATGTATCTGCACATGCAAGTCAACGTTTAGTGGTTACGGCTTCACGTGACTCAACATTTCGTCTTTGGGACTTTCGCTATGAAATTCCTGCTGTATCTGTATTTCAAGGACACACTGAGTATGTTAATTCATAACTTAAAATATCTAACTCCTATTAAAGCCTTTCAAAATATTTAGAAGTGTGACGTCAACAGTCTTTGCGCGCGATGATAAAGTGGTGTCTGGCTCGGATGATCGCACGGTAAAAGTTTGGGAACTACGAAATATGCGCTCTGCACTAGCAACTATACGAACGGATTCCTCGGTGAATCGATTGGCTGTTTCGAGCGGTGGCATAATAGCAATACCACATGACAATAGACAGATACGTTTATTTGATTTGAATGGGCAACGTGTAGCTAGATTACCTCGTACAAGCCGACAGGTCTGAGATAAATAACTATTGTATGTATGTAGATATATTAATGTGCAGTTTGAATTTCTAGGGTCATCGTCGAATGGTTTCGTCCGTTGCCTGGGCTGAAGAACCACTAATGAATTGCGATTTATTTTCATGTGGATTCGATCGTCGTGTATTTGGCTGGTCTATAATTTTGCCGAAAGAAAATTGAAAGTTACTAAAACTGGTAATATTTTAGAAAAGAATGCATCATAAATCTGCAATTCAATACAAATTTATGTATGGAGATGTAGCATTTGTAAAGCGAAAATAACAGGAATTTATTCCATTGTATACAAATATCAGTAGTTATTGTTGTATGTATTTGAAAATAAGTAGAACTGTTGCTTGAATTCTCTCTATACGATATAATTAGCAAAGGTATTAAACTGTGAACAAAAATAAATTCTCTAAACCTCTGTCCATTCATTTTAAAAATGAATACCTTAACTTTTTTTGCCAATTTGTTTATGACAATCATATTTTTGGATATTATTTTATATTTTATTTCATAGATGGTATACACAAAATGCAATATCGGAGAAAGCCGATTCTAATTTATAATAAAAATAACGCCTAATTTTTAACTCGAAAAGTAGGCATCAATATCCACAATATATGTACATAAATACATGCATGCACGTATTAAATTTATAAAGCCAAATATCTAATAAACGCTATTATTGTAAGCGTATTGTCTTGAAAATAACTTGATACATGCGCATAAACAGATCATCATTTATAAAAAAAATATAATTACAAACTGAGTTGCTTATCGTTATTAAATAAAATAAACTATAGTTCTTAGCATAACGATAATTAGACCTTGCCCTATTATTTGAAGAAAACTCAATTCCTGTGTATTATGTATGATCTTGGAAATTGTTATTTACATAAATGGTTAAAAAATACGATTTTGTGTGTTTTAAAATGGGAATATTTCGAATAAGGTTTACTATTGGGGTCGTAAAAGAGTTTACTTTATAAAAAATACTAGCAATTGAAGCCTTTCAAGAAATCTAAAACCGTACAAATTTGATTACTATAAGTCCAGCTAAAATACATATTTCTAAAAATATAATTATAACTAATATTAACTTATTATAGAGTACTTCGCGACGCAATTTTCTTATAATACTTCCAGATCGCACGATATCCACATCTGCATCCTGGAGCCGGCGTGTGGAACGCAACAAGGATTCGCGTTGTTCACTTAATTCCGATAACACCTTTATGTGAAGAAACACAAATTAAGGATAGATAGTTCTAGAAATGCTGTGTCTCAACTTACTTCTGTGCCTATCTGTTCAGTTTCAATTGCAACCTGATTGGACCGCTGTATGCTCGCAGCACTACGCTCAAGAACATCGTAAGTATTCCCTACCAACTGGGCTTGGGCAGTATTTTGACGCTCTGCAGCATTTTGCCAATTATAAGGCCCCGACATTTTTAATTATCTTTTTTTTTGGTATGTCGAAGTAATTTATTTCACATGAATTGGTCAACAATTGATAAACATAAAAACTTAGAACAGCTGACGAATATTTTGGTAATAGTGCCAGATGGTAGTATTATGGCGAAAATGTGAAATAGGAGGGGCCAAAGAACTTGTATGAATTCATATACGTTCTTTGCTAGAGCGTGAGTATGGAATGATCGGTATATCGTAAGTATTTCCAGAACTTGGTACGAGCAATGAGTGAGGTATATAAGAGAGCGGACCAGACAGCGTAGTTAAGCTAAAAAGTGAGCTCAGTGGTGACAAACAACAACGTTATACTAAAGTAGAGAGAGATTTGTTGATTGAGAGACTGCAAAGTTATTATTTTCCAATTGAAAACCGCAAATGAAACTTACGCGGGAGTGCTGACGCTATGTCAGGCCGACCATATAGCTCGGAATGCAAACAATGCTCAGAAGTCGAAGGCAAAAAAGACATAACATATTGTTGCGAAAATGCGAGGCGAATGTCAGATGAAAGAGAGAAGCCGATAACTAGTACGTTCTAGAAACGATAAAACAAGAACCTTCCATAGCGAACAATTCGATGCTTCTACGCTTTCGTCTGCGAGCAGCCGACTGCTATATAAAGGCGACACTCAGCTGCAAGTCAAGTTAGTGATAAAGTAAACTCGTTGGCGTTAACATCAGTAAAGTCGTAAAGTAAACACGTTGGAGAGTACATTTAAGTAGAGTGAATTGTGCAAGTTGATGATAGTGATTGTAAATAGTAGAGTGTATTGTAATTGTATTGTGAATTACGGAGTAAATAAAAGACATTAGATAAAATCTTAATAACGAAAGAAACTGCAAATTGAATTGGCGAGTTTTTATTTAACAATCCAGAGATCGTACCCGAAGGATCTAGAAAATAATCGAGGTTGATTCAGTAAAATCGTAACAATATATCTGGCTAATGTCAATTACATCAGCAAAGGAATAGGTTGCTAGTCACCTACAGAAAATGTCAACAGGAGGCATTCTTATCATATTATAAAGTTGATATCTGGCTTTTCGCATCGATTAGGGGAAAATGAAGATGGTCTGTGCTCCTGTAATATATCAACAATTTCAAAGATAAGAATTCCGGAAGATTCCAAGGTATTTCGCAATGGTCACAGTGGAGGGTACCTGGGGATTACGAAAACCTTGGAGAATATCAAACAGCGGTTCTATTGCGTTGGTTGGTCAATCCGTCGCGGAATGGAGTATGAACTGCAAAAAGGCTAGTGGAATTACACATATTCTTTTGATTTTATGGCAACAAATAAAGTGAAACTGAATAATTGCAGCATTAATATATTTTATCAAATACAACCCTTAACGATTAACCCTTGCCACGGCAGCACACACTACGATAACGCTGACAAGTAAACAAAAATAATTTTTGACAACTTTGCAATTCTTATATATTTGGATCATTTTGAGTACATTATTGTTTATTTAGATTTTCGAAAAAAATAACAAATTTTGAATATAGGCGTTAGTAGCAAAGTTCAACAAATTTCTCACAATGCGAAAGACTTGGGTGAAGCGAGAAAATATTTACTATAAACCATTCTATAAGCAAAAATCCAAAATGTTTTTATTAGGAGTTTTTTTATTAGGGATAGTTTTTATAATTTATCAGGCCTTTTCTATTAATCAACTACCAAGTGCTAGTACGCCGTGGAGTTTCGAAGGTACTATGCAGGGACTTCGTAAGAAACATATGGAAATGATCAAATCATTAGGTCGGAAGCAAAGTGATGGCTACGATGACGGAGGGGGTGGTGGCGATGGTGCTCTATCTCTGGACAACAACGAAGAGGAAGATTCCATTAAAATTATACGGTAATATAATATACTAAATTATTAATAGTATTTACGAACTTGTTCTCCTTAGTGGCATACGGCTATACGATTATGATTCTTATAAGCCCAACTTTGACGGAAATTTTCGATGTTTAGATGGCAGTAAGGAAGTGTCCTTCAAACGTGTTAACGATGATTTCTGCGATTGCCTTTCTGATGGGAGTGACGAACCAAGTACTAATGCTTGTGCCAAAGGCCGTTTCTATTGTAAATATCAAAAACGGCATATCACCGGTCGCGGTGTAGATGTATACGTTCCAAGTAGTCGCATTAATGATGGTATTTGTGATTGCTGCGATGGTAGTGACGAATGGTTAACCATTACTTGTAAAAACAAATGTACATAATAAGCATATATTTATGTCTTGAAGTAAACTCAATTTAGTTATTCTTTACATTAGTGATATATTTTTACCTACTATATAGAAAAATATTTCGAAAGCTGATATTCAAAATAACTTAATTAAACACAAAGGATACTTGTTTAGATAGGCTATATTGAATATAAGACCTCGATATCCCGCTCTATGTCATAAATAGAAATATAATTTCAATAAAACGTTAGGATAATGTAGAACTAAACACACAATGACAATGAAGTGATTTTAAATAGATTATGAATTGAATATGTTAAATGATGCTATGCATCAAATGTCGTCTTGTAAGTCTTATCTATTTCGCAGTTATAAATCAACTACTGTACTAAGTGATAATAAGTTCATTGTATACTCAAAATTTGTTATAAAACATAAAAGACGATTAAATTCGAATGTATAATTAGATTTTATATTAAAAATACAATTTTTACATATTTATTTGAAAAAGTCTCTACAACGCACATTATTTCAAGAAGGTGAATAAAATGCTCGGCAACATAAAACTAATTAAAACGGTTAAACTAACAGTGGTCAAGTCTGGCGAAAGGAAAATATAATGGGTACTTACGTTTTCTTTGTACATATGTATATATGTGTTTTTTGGTAAAAAATTCAAACGAGAAGTATACACTATGAATAAGTTATATTTGAAATATTATGCGAATCTCCAAAAACATAAATCCAGTTCATGTATTGTAACTTAATAGGTTTTGTCGTTCCTTTAGTTTACAGTTATAACTTACACAAATATTATTTTATGTTTTAATATACTAATTTCTCTTATTTTGCTGCTTTTAAATACTTTCAAATTTTTCATTTCTTAAACTTTATTACAATTTAAAAAAACAGATGGAAGCAGTTGGCGACTTAATGTATACTTTTAAGCCAGGCTTAGTTATATTTCAATCGCCACGTTTTCTCAAGTTTTCTATATTAAATTTAAATTTTCCGCATTTGCATCTAGGGATAGTGTAATTACCAACCGCAAAACACCGATAATTTGTTATTTTCAAAGCAACTATTGAATATACCTACAAACATATATGTACATGTGCCCTTTTTGGTTTTCTATATATTCTCAAGTCTTACTATTATTTTGCTTACAATTGTTTTGAACATTTATAGATGAATTTCTAAAGTGCCAAATATGTACAAAACCGAAGAGATGCATATACATAACTTTCCATAATGTAATTACTGATAATAGCATTATTCTCCTCATTAGCATGTTTTAGCATTGCAAATGCGATAATTTTGAACTGCAAATTCGAAAAAGGTACATTTAGAGGGGTGCTCTATTATTAACTTATTTATAGGCGTTTTTTGTTCTAAGTAAGTCTTTTTTTTAACTTTTGCAAATTTCAAAAAACATACGTAAAACATATTTTAGTATAAGAATTTGTGTATTGTGATTATGTTTTATATCATTGGACAAATTTTAGAAATGTATCTTGACATTAGCATGTTTTGCGTACACACATATACATATACATATATGAATGTGCAAATTTACTATAATTATTATTAATTTTTTGAATTTGTATTTGCATCTGAATTTTATAGCTATATTGGTTTTGTTTGTAGAAATTGTCTTTTCTTACATTTGTATACATTTTATAAATCGCATGCATGCTGTCATAATTTTTGTAATTTTAATGTAGATACTATTTTCGTAAAACAGATATGACATTAATATTTATGCATCTTCTTATTTGATAAATTTTCTTTTTTTTTTATTCCTCTGTATTTGTAATCACATGCTGCGCACTTAATTATGTGAATCTTTAGACAATACATTTTAATTTATGATTTCATGATATGAAAAGGGGTACGTTTTATATCATTATATTGTATGGCGATTTCCTAATCCTTGTCGTAAACTATTATGACACTTATACAAGAAAGGTAAAACAACAAAGGACTTTTAAGCTTATATACCTTAAAATTGATTATTAGATGCATATGTTGAATGGTATGGTATTTATATTTTTTTTATAATTTTTCATAACTTGCATGCAAGCTTTATGATGTGTGTCAGTGCGTACAGAAATAACTGTAAACAAAAGTGTACCCAATATCCCGCTACTGCACTGAATTACAGTAAAAATTGAATTGTTCTTTTCTAAAGTATGGTAATTCAATTAAATTTTTTAGCGTTATTTCTGGCAGACGGTCACACACAGATTCGTAGGAGTGCAGGCATTCAGGCTGTGACAACAATTTTTCGTAAATAAAAATTCACTTTGAAAAATAATACTTATATGGGCCTAGCTTTTGGTATTAATCTGCCTTCAGCTTCAACCAACTTATTATTTTAACTTTTTGATTGAAATTCGGATTACTCGCATTAGTGATATACAAACTATTAAAGTTTGACTTAATTAATTTTGCATAAAATATCTATGTTCATCAATGTTTGTCATGTATTGCTTAAAAATGGTACGATGCAAAAAAAAGCTGTAAGATACTTCTATGAAGTTTTATCTCTACTTTAGAAACGACAAAGATACCAAAAAGTGATGTGTTAATAAAATTAAATCTCAGTATATATACTGTTGAATGCGAATTCAGTTTTTAATAACTATCCCTTTAGCTGAAAGTAAATAATTTTAGTATCTCCAAATATTTTGACATTGACAAATAATACATACGGCCAAATATGAAAAAAGACATTTTTGGTTTATTTTATATAAAAAGATATTCGCCAAATTTTATGCATAATAAGTAAATTATCTTAAAACAGGAATTCTAAATTAGAGCAGTATAAATAAAAGTAAATTATAATAAAAAAATATAAATGTCTAAGAGGATTGCACTGGTTAGCGTTATGGTGATTAATGTATGGTTGTTTTTGTATAAAAAAATTTGCCAGCGAAACTTTTATCAAAGTCATTAAATGTAGGAATTTTAAGTAAAAATATATAGCATCCTATCTATAAAATAGAGCTAATACTTAAATTTATTGTGCACCAAATTATCTTTGATTTGTTGCAATACTTAAATTATGTTATACTAAGATATTAAATTTAAATATTCCATTACTAAGTTTTCTTACGCCAAGAAGGCAAGGCAAGAAAATAAACCCAGCATACATACACATATACATATGTATATCCTGGTGTCTTAAGAAAGCTATGATTTTTACTGAAATTAAATTTCTTGCGAACTTCATGAGCCCACATATTTAAGGAATATAAAAAACCTTGCTTCACTTTTGGCTTTCACATAATATTTAAATATACAAATATATATATATATATAAATGTTTTATTACGAAATTATGACAATTTGCAAATTACAATTAAATTTTATCATTTTTTTCGTACCAGCAAAAACTTCAAGGGTAAGATGATATAAGAAGTTAGTGTACTGATACGTATGTAAAAATGTACGCAGGCATGTATACATATATACATTATGCATGCTAATTTATTCCTAAACACATATGTGATTATGTATGTATGTATGCATGTTGTATGATTTTTTCCTGCTTCCCCATGGATTCAACGACAAGTTTGATGTTGCAGAAGCCTACCTTTTGTACGTGAATAGTGATGAATTTTTGTTGGCTGCCCTCTCTGCTGATGATGATGTCGTTGATTCGGTCGTGGTCGAATTCTTTGCAAATTCGGCGTTTTTTGGCGTTGGCGATTATTTTGTATAGCTGTAACAGCAGCAGTTGCTGATGTTGCTGTAGTTGGTAAGGTGGTGTTGTTCTGTGAAAAATGTCGCGTATAATTATTTACAATTGATGTGGTTGCTATATCAAGAAAAGTAAAATTTGATGGTGTTGCTCCTATTTGTTGGTGTAGTTGCTGTTGTGGGTGTTGCATCTGCAGCTGCATCAATTGCTGTTGTTGTTGCTGAACTAACTGTTGTTGTTGTTGTTGTTGTGGTTGCGGCATTATATTCATAATTGTTGTTGCCGAAACGGTGCTACTAGTCGGTACAGCGACAGCAGCTATTCGACGCAAGTGCAAGCGGCCGCCAACATTCCGACGTCGGTGATGTCACTTTGGTCCGCTGGAACTTGTCTTACCCAAGTCTGTACGATTCGAATTGTTTAGCTGTGCTTGCTGTTGCTGCTGCTGCAATTGGTCATTAATTTGAATGTTGCTCGAGGATTGTTGTAATGGTTGTAGTGCTGATGTTTGTTGCATTTGCTGTTGCTGATTTAGTGTGTGAATGTGTTGACAAAAAGCTTGTAACACCTCAAAATGTGTCATCAAATTCGCTGTTTGGCTATCATAGTGCAAATGGCGCGTGATCGGTGCGCCTAGACGTCGCAGCATATCTGTAAAGATTTTTTCCTCTTTTCTGATCCATGGCCGGCGATCATCCTGCACTTGATATGGCGTAAGATGAACATGAATATTCATTCCTATAGAAATATATTAAAAAATTTTGAGTATTTTGTATATTAAAGGAAATGGTTAGATTTTACCCATTCGAGTTAAAGTTTCTAATAGGCTTCTGGATGTAATCCATGTATTCTTTTGTCCACCGTGACCACCATCCAACCAGTAAATGTCCTTAATGCGTGAAAGCAAACGCATCATTGTGCTGTCATCAGGCGTAAGAGTTTTTAGGTAGTGAAATTCGTATATAAACTGAAATAGAGGGGAAAAAGTTATTAGAATTACTGTAATTTTAAAGTTTATCGCTTATTTTTTTAATATTTCGTATTATGCATTCGATTTTTACACCAAATATGACTCACTTGATTGAGGACCACACATCCTTTGCTAAACCCAATTAAAACCAATTTAGCTTTGTCCAAATTCAAATTCTCTCGCCACCATAAGGGGTTGCTGTTTTGACGGGTGTGCTGTTGCGACTGTTGTTGTTGTTGCTGCTGTACTTGAGTTAAACCCTCACCGCTGTTGTTAGTATTACCACCAATATTATTGTAATGTTGTGCGTTATTTGTTTGTGTTTGATGTGTGTTTGCTTGTAAAGGAGACTGTTGTGTACCATGGGAAGTTGTCGTTGATGTCGATGCATTGCTATTAGTAGCATTATTTGTCGTTGCAGAGATGCTTCCGCTATTATTGCTTCCACTAACGCCAGAACCGCCAACATTTGGAAATATTACAGCACCGTCAGCATCAACGGTCACATTCTCCTGAACTTGCAAAATATCAATATCCATATCTTGATTGTTATCATTCAATGTAGATGAGGTGGTGGACGTATCAGTCGAAGCAGTGGAGAGTGTAGAAGATACTAATGCAGCGGCAGCAGCTACAGCTGCAGCAGCAGCGGCTGCTTGCGCCGCCTGATCCATTATTTCATTTTCGGGTATGGAGATCAGTCGTTGAGAGAGATTTTGTAGCAATCTAAGAAAAAAGTAATTTTCATAAATTTCAAAGCCTCATTTATTATAATGTTAAAATAATTTTCTTACTTTTCTAAATGTTGCAAAGCATGGTTCATAGGTGTATGATCGGGTACGCCAGCATTATTACCACGCACGAAATTGTCAAAACAACTGAAGGTTTTGAATTCCATTCTGTAATTGTGCATAGGTGAATTACTATTATTTCTTACATTTTTACAATAATAACAACATAATTTGGAAAAAAAAGTAATTGTTTACCTCACAGGCCGGATGACAATGATGTGTGCACGAGGAAAAGCCTCGCGCAAAAGTATAGCAGAGTTCTCTAGATTGTATTTCATATAGCCTCGACTGTCTCGATTTGTTTCCATGCTCTCCGGAAAGTCCTAAAAAACGAATTAGAAGATCAGTAAGAATAATAACCATTAACTATTTAAAAAAAGCAAGAAATGGGTGATATACTAATAACAGTTTTAAATGAAAAAATACCTGTACGTCACCGCCAAAGTAAATAACGGCCGTCGAGTCCTCTGCATTTTCACTGGCGGTTGGTCGAATAGGTGGACAGTAGACAATATCATTTGCCCGATTTTGGAAACCAGTGACGGCAAAAATGCGAAATGGGCCAGCTGACGTGCTCGGTGTGCATAGACGATCCGTACTACCGCCTAGCATTACCCCGAAGTTTGTGACCCTTTTTTGTAGTTTCAAAAAATGTTCAATGATTGCCTGTAAATGAACAAAGCTTTTTTAAATACTGCTAATATTTGAAATTAATTTGATTATATTCTCAGGCAGCTAATTTACTTAAAAAAAATATTAATTCGCGTAATACTATGTAGGTTTAGTAAACTCAAGAATTTCCTTAAGAATTAAATTTTTTTCTTTAGAAAATATAATTAATCGCTTCTCACCTTTCGACACTCAGATGTATTAACGAAATTATTTTTTAATCACATACATAAAAATAAATCAAACAGTTTCTGAGCACAACGTGTATTTTTACGCAGCGCAGCAATTACGTATAATTGTAAATATTTATATTTATATACACATTTTATTTTATTTTTATTGCCAAAAGGCTAAGACCACTTCGGCGTCGTGGTCGTCAATAAAAAAAATACCCCATCATAATTACACACACACACACTCTTGACATACACCTCGCTTAAAACTTAGCAGACATATATACATACATCCGTATATGTATATGTATATATTTCGTAAAAATATACATTATAATTAATAATAATCTTCATCATAGTATTCCCTCGTTCCACAACATCCCATAAAGCGTGCACGTGTGTCCTCCAGGCACAGCTTCGTGTCTTCTTTTATTTCCTTTATTTTCATGCGCACTGCTTCACGCATCAAGTTATAGCACATCGAGACCAGACCCATGCCGACTAGCATATAAAAGAAATTAATTGCCAACTTTGAATTTTGGTCGGTTATTAACTGCATATTGAAGATCTCTTCAGGATCCGCTGACGCATCTTCCTTGATTTTTAACGATGCTGCTTCAATGTCAGCTGCCGTAACCAGTGAGGCGCCAGGTACAAAATCGCCAAAACCAATTTTACACAGGGATGTCATGCAGAAGTAGAAGGAGTTTAGAAAGGACCATTTCTCCCAATTCGCAAACATAATGGTGCCGGTTAATATATAAGATATAATAACCCATAGACAAGCTGTCGATGGTACAATTATTTTTTTACGTTGCAATACACTTAGGCTACCATTCTCAAGCGCTTCTAGGTGCGAGTCGTAAATTGTACGTTCGTGTGCACACTCGTGTAAGCTGCGGTATAAAAACTTGAATGAACGAGCTAATACTTTACCCATATTCAAGAAGTAAAGTATATAAAGCGGTATGCCAAATGTTGCATAGATAACGGTGAATCCTTTGCCCCATGGTGTACGTGGCACCATATTGCCATAACCGATCATTGTAATGACCGATAAACAAAACATCAAGGCCGCTGGAAAAGACCAAATTTGTTCAGGAGTTCGACCAACATAGCCATTCTTAATTAAAGTGGCAATTTCTGCTTGATATTCAAGTAGTATATCTATAGTATTATTTTGCCATTCGCTGCGATCGAACGTATTGAACTTTTCAGTTATGTTCCACATTTTCTCTGCACAATTATGTCGCAATTTTATGACATAGTCTGTTGTTTCATCAATGTACTCCCGTTCGATATGCATGAAGGAAAGCGCACCAAAGATAGCATAGAGTACAATCAACGCGCCCACACCCAATTGCGTACACATAAAAGTGACGAAATTGCGACAACAACGTTTAACCCGCTTACGCGGTGGCGTACTGGGTGACGACGAATTTGAGGACCCTGCACGGCTGTTGTGCCGTGAACTTCGAACGGATTTTGACATCTTCAATTTCGTGAATGTCAACTGTTAATTTGTGGCATTATCCATTATGTAACTAAATTACTAGGCGTATTATTATAAATTTTATATTCTTTATAATACGTCAATCCATAAACTGCTCATATGAGTTTACATATTTTGGTATGTTTTATCTTCATTTCTATTTTCTATAAACCGAGAGTACCAAAAATAGACTTCAGCGCGACGCGTTGCACACTAATATTTATGAGAACTACACTTCAACGCGCATCTAACTTCCCTGATCCATACGATCGCATATATCGGAGACAACTAAAATTGAAATTATTTGAAAACATTTTCCTCCTGTCCAGCTACGCTCAGAGCTATCGAAACTTTTTCTCTCGTTGCATACAATATACAATATAGGTGGTATATTCAACAAAACGCGTGTTTTTGGCACTCTCCTAGGTAGATATTTGAGTTTGTTTACATATTGTTCCCAACATGCTTCAATTATTATTAGCTTTTGTGGCTACTTGTGCATTCTGATTGGTGCTGCAAGGTACGAAAAATTAATAATCTATTATAACTGAAAATATTTTAATGTAGGTACATAATATGCATTTGTGGATGAATCAGCATTTTCCATTCCCATATGCTAGTCTCTATTTGAACTCACGAAAATTCGTTCGAAATTTTAAAAAAAATTACCAAGTTTATATTCATTTCATTTAGTAGTTTTCAACAAAACTTAATAGTATAATTAATTTTTATACAAAATTTCGTACATTGGATATTAACTCGATAATTTAATTTGTCTTATTTCGTAGACTTTCATGGGAAAGTTAAAAATTAAAACTACACAAGTACATACATACATATTAAAAAGGAGTTGAAAAGTTTCGTATACATAGTAGGTAGGAAAAAAACACTGATAACAATTTTTTGATACCATCATATCATACAAATAGGATAGATGATTACGCAAGGTTTAAATTTAATATTTGCAAGTAAATAGCTAATCATTCGACTTTACAGTAGACCAGGCACAATCCGTAAAATGTAGTTATTAAATATTTCTCACCATATTATTTGTCCATATAAATATTGAACACATTCAAGCACACCTAAATTGTATAGTTTAAGGCATGCGTACCCGTAGATTACTTGTCGTAATAATGCTATATCAATGCCTTTGTTATTAAACTTGTGCAAAATAACTCAATAGTGAAAATTATAATTTACCTGTTATAATTTGATAATAATCTTTAGTTTTAATATTTACCATTTTGGATATAAAGAGCTAACTTGGTAAACAAAACCAGCTGTTATGTCTCTAGTCTTCGGTTTTTTGTTCACTTCGATATTTTTTTTTTTTACAGAAGATAAATATTGAATAATCAAACTATGCAACTCGATGTCCGCTTTAGTCTTTTTTATAATAGTTACAAATTTATAGAATATGCGACCTCGTAAGGCTTTTTAAATTATTTTAATTCGTATATGAATGACATTGAAGATCTTCTATATTTTATTCGCTCTTCACTACGATAATTTTCACACTGGAATACGACGCATATTAGACTCCAATGCAATGTGAAATTCGGTCAATACATCTAGAAAATCAACATGCATGCATATGTCAATAATAGTTATATTTTATTTGAGCACAATCTAAAGCAATATGTTCTGGCTGCCGTAAGTTGAAGAGATACGGCTTCATTCCACAATCTACATATTTGTCTAAAATTGACTATTTAGTTTAAAATCAGCTGAAAATAATTTTTTTTTACTAAATTTACTATTGATGGTGGCGCGCTGTACTTTTCACTACCAATTTGATGGAGGTGGTGCGCGTTGACAGTCTTAATGCAAGTGTGAAGAAAATGAGGAATGAAACGAAAAAGAAACACCACAAACAATTTTTTTTTTTTGATACCGTCAATGAGCAATTTTGGCACTGATTTTACCAAAGGGGGAGGTGGTGGGGACGATTGCAGGTTATATTTAATAGTAAGGTAGTTGTTTTTCGGCAATGTAGCTATAGAAAAATATATGTGTGTATGGCATAAACAACAGCGTTCCGGCTCATTAATATAGCGCGATGCTAGTATTTATATAAATAACTTACAACGTTTTTTGTACACCAATAAGAATAATCAGTCTGTAAGCGCTTCACCCTCCTTACAGATGGAGACGCGAGAAAAGTCACCAATGCAGATTCCTGCAAATTTTGTAAATACACAAAATACACTTTTTGTTCACATGTGTATTAAATTTTCAATAACTTCCTTATGAAGATACACTTTACTAAACGTTTAATAATAATTTAGCATTTTCTATAACGTTTTGCGCCCGAATTTCAACAAAAATTCGCAATTTTCGCTTTTATGAGTTTTTCTCGTTTCTTTCTTACACTGGAAATGCAACGCATATTCCATTGTACCGAAATCCATCAATTTCATTCTCTAATTATTCTATTGCCGACTCGATATTCAAACCGTCTTATCGACACGGAAATTTTCCGTTTAATGATTTTCCATGCACTGCAAATTTTGTTGACTTCGTTTATGTTCTATATTTTGAAAACAAAAAAATAATTAATTTTTTTCGACAACTTACAATTTGGTGTTCCCATTAAGGGTAATTTTGTCGTCATCATATAATAAAATATTATTTTCCATATTTGTCTGTTTGGTTATCATTACTTGCATATAATTAACATACAGGTCTGTATATTTTCTATGGACAATATCTTATTTATTTATTGGGGATTTGGTACTTCCATATCTTGTGAATAAACGGAGCTTCCTTCGATGTTGAACACTGCACTACCAACAATTTTACTGTGCGCATTTAAATATCAATTCGAAAGCTTGAATACGATACGAGCTGTGTGCGAAAGTAAACTTATAACACATAATAAAGTAAAAGCATAGGCCATAAGCACATTAATGAAGAAGGGAAAATATAAGACAGTCGAGATGTTTCTCTTCACAGGTTTTCCATGTTCACAGTTTTCTCATATTATAATTATGACAGAGTACACAAAAAAAATAAATAAATAAAATAAAGAGGGAGAATAGGTTTGGGCAGATTACAGAATATGCACATAAAATGTAGAAAGATATTCAGTGACATATAAAAGTTACCAAAACCTAGGGCAGACAACAGGATCATAGTCTTGGAAGTTTTCGGTAAAAAGCTGTTTCAGCAATACTAACACCAGCAAGAATATGGTGGTGTGCTATGTTTGCATATATAAATGGCGCTTTGTAACCGCTGAAGTGTTTTTTGACTGTGATTTTGCATTTCGATGTTTTTCAAACAAAATAGATGACCTGTAGCTCAAAATAAGCCGCCACCGAACGGCCGATAGATTTTTATGATGACCTTTGATTTTCATATCAGAAACACATTCGCAAAGCTTGATCTTCCCTGCTAGGGCGACCGCAACTAGAAAAAATAATTTTCTGTGGTTTTCCAGATTGGTCCATCCAGGACTATTGGTGTTAATACATGTTCCAAAATAGGGGAAATCATTTAATTAACTTCAAAGACTGTTAGCAGTGACGTGGGGTCAGAGTTGCGAATGCGATTACTGTTTGTTTGATGAAAGCAGATATTTCGGCTTGCCCTCATTCACTATCAGTCTCAAACACTTCGATTCCTCATCCAGTTTGGAGAAAACAGAACCCACGGCCCGGTTGTTGAGGTCAATGAGGTCAATATCATCGCCGTACTTCCTCAGCTGTATACTCGCGGGCATTCAGTAGGCTGATGAACTGTTCTCTTAGCAAATGCATTATAATCTGGAGATCAATAGTTACATCATGTCTCTGGGTCAAACCTTCTTTTCGTAGAAGTTTCGAGCATTACCTTTGTCAGCCAACTTCTCTCTCAGCATCTTCTTCTTTTGTCTGTCCATGCGTCTTGCTTCCCTCTCGGTTCTTATCATTGCTCATACGTGCTGTGGTCGAGCGTAATGTTGCGTGTTAGGCAGTCTGCTTTCTCTTCGTACCAACTCCAATTGTTGCCGTAGCACTTAAACGTAGAGAGTTTGAGATGCCGTTCCACAGTTCCCCTATATCCAGTTGCTGATGGGTGCTCTCAGAAAGCAGGCGTTCAAATAAAGTAGAAAACCGTTCGGCTGTCTCATGATTGCAGCTTATCGCCATCGAGCGGAATTTTTGACGGGTGTATTTTGATACACAGAGTGCATATCTCCGCTGCGACATGATAGTGACTCGATTCGATGTTAGGTCCCAGGAATGTACAGGCATGTGGCTTAGTGAATTTTCTATAATCTGTAATCTAGTACAGATACAACCATGTTTCGGAGCGCCTGAGTCCCCATTTCTGCTAGCTAGGTAATATTGTGGAGAAAAATCGGAAATGACTATCGTCCTATTGTAATGGAGAAAGCCACTTTCATTTGATGGATGGATTGGAAGGTTATTAATCAAAAGTGCGACAATATCCATAATACTTACCAAAAATATAGTTCACAAAAATTCAAAACGACTTTTATGCGTTTATTAAAATTTTTATTTTGGCAGATTCTTTAATTAATATATCGTGATTTTGCTTTGTTTTTCTTTCTTTATTCTTCTTTTATCGGAATTATTTTCTGAAATAAAATATCATACCAAAATATAGTGTAAAGAGTGATCCATTTCGAAGTTCCCTACTTTTTTAATGAAAAAAAAAAACACAGAAATGTCGAATTTAATGGGAAATGTTTATTACCGTTCGAAAGAACATTCTTCGCTCGTTCGAGCCTTTCGACTGGTAACTGACGCATTGACTTTAGACTTTACATATCCCCACTGACAAAATTCTAACCGTTTAATATCAAACGATCTTGGTGGCCAATCGACCGGCCCAAAACGCGGAATTCATTGCTCACCGAAGTGTTCTCTCATTAAATCCACTTATATATGTAGTGTTTGTGAAGCGGCGCCGTCTTGTTGAAACCAAATGTCGCCGAGATCACGAGCCTCAATTTCAGGCATCAAAAAGTCGGCAATCATACCCCGATAACAAACGACATAGACTATTACATCATGATTGACATTGATATTGACAACATGATTCTTGAAACTCTTCAGATTGCTCTTCGTCCCAAATGCGGCAATTTTGCTTCTTTATATACCCACTGAACCGGAAATGGGCCGCATTGCTGAACTAAATGTGGCTCGAAAACGTCGGATCTTCTTGGAACTTTTCAAGAGCCTATAGAGCGAAGTAATGTCGCATGGGAAGCTCGAGCGGCTAGTTTTAGCTCTTGCACCAACTGTATGTTGTATGCTTTCAATTTAAGATCTCGAATTGATTCCTCAGCTACGGCCGCTTTAATTTCTTCACTGCCTGCTAGAGGTGGTCTATTCGGTCGAATATTATCCAATAAAGAATTCTGGATCGCCAGATTGGGTGATGGTGTTGCGTATAGTACGCTCAGTAGGCGGATTATGTTGACCAGCAGTTGAGCGATGTGCGCGAAACACGTGAATTTTCCTCAAAATTTTCCTCTTTCAAAAAAAAAAAGGCCATTCAAAAAAGTACATCTGCTTGGATCGCCCGTCTTGTGGATTGCTTTATTATGTTTTCAAATGGCTTTGTAATGTACCGAAAAAAATGCAAAACGAAATCGAGAAAATTGTTTAAAGCATTTACATTTATTCAAAAAAGTACATCTGCTTGGATCGCCCGTCTTGTGAATTGCTTTATTATGTTTTCAAATGGCTTTGTAATGTACCGAAAAAAATGCAAAACGAAATCGAGAAAATTGTTTAAAGCATTTACATTTATTCTACGGAAATTCCAAATTATACATACTAACCCGAATTAAATCAAACTCTGCTTCAATCCTCAGAGTTTTCTTAGTAAAACCATACTGGGCGCCTTTTGATCATTACTTACTGCGAAACATTAGCAACTCTGAAATCTCTCCTGAAGAGTTTTAGAAAGTTTATAGTTGGTAAATTGAAAATTAAAAATGAGTAAAGAGTTTAAATTTCCTCCTCTGCATTACAATTAGAACCCTTCGTACTATGAATTGTGCTTCCAAACATTCTGCATAAATATTATAGTCTTAAAATGGCATTGAATGTACAAATTAAAAATAAATAAATTTAATTTTACTCAGAATACAAAACTTGTTAGTAATTTTCATTCGTATATTATCAGATGTAGTCACGCTTAGGCGTTAAATTATTTTATTTCAAAAAGTACACATAAGGAATATTATTTTTACTAGAATACTCGTATAGTACATCTAAATATGTATGTATATATTTTACACGAAAATATGTTTTCTTCTTTTTTTTTGATATTGAATTTTTTAATTTAAATATGGAAAGAAAAGTTCGTAGAATGTAGATAAACGTTTAGTTGTAGAGTTTTTAGCAAATTTAAAAAAAAAAAACAATCTTTATATTAGTACTATATTATATATATTTTGGTATGTATATAATTAATAATTTATTATTTCAACAAGAAATGGACTGAATATTATTTTGATGTTATTTTCTATACAAATACTTTTCAACGAGTTTTTTTCCTTTTAAGTATTTATTTACAATTTCATTATATTTAACTGCCATAAAAAAGTATTATTTATTACAATTACACTTGAAAGTATTTAGTGGGTAGGTGAGAATAACTACTTGTGTACTATATAATCCTAGTTGAACAATATTTGTGTGTAGCCATGCACGTAAAGCTAAAAATGAATATATAATATTTCATGAAACCATATATTTGCTGTTCATTTATAATGCACAAATTTGTAGTTCAGAGTAGTTAGTTTTTCTTATGAGAATTTATTATTTTTTGATGTTAAGAAGTGGAATAAATATTAATTTTAAATTTAGTATCGAAATTCCTTATATACATATGCGCACAATATTCAATCAGAGTATTTATATGCCTACTTCATTTTATGTGTTTCGAGTAAGTAAAAAAATTCTATTGGGAATACTTCTAAAAAATAATTTTTAAAACTGATTTCTTATCATCTATATGTACATCGGTATATGAATTTATTACAGAAATGACATATTTGTGAATATAATTATAATTAGACTTGGCTATAAGCATCTTATTCTTCCAAAGCTAATACGCCTATATTTATTGAGTATGTACATACATACAAATATGTATTCACTTAAATGGCATGTGCTCAAAAATTGAACAGATTGATACCTATTTTTTTGAAT